GTTGTTTCATCGAGCCTCATCCATCCGCAGCAAATGCTCTGACATCACATGGGTGTTCTACACGTCGCATCCATGCAACTCTGGCACATCCACATGCAGAGGTCCCGTCACGTCCAATTGCCAACCAAACTAAGAAGTGAGCTAGGCTCTGTGCGACATCCAGGACATGCAAGATCGTTTTTTGGCTCCAGATCAAGTCTTGCTTGCTGGCTGAAGCTGCTACTGTATTGATTAGATCTGCATGTGCCAAGCGCACAGAAGCAAATCAGCGCAACACACATATTGATTGACAGGCTTCTGTCATAAGTTGTCTGAACAGCTGTTTCAAATCCAGCTGGCTGGTCCAGCTGGCTCAGACCTCAGACCACGAGCTCAGTAGCGCTGCCCCGAGCCAGTGCGCATTGCTCCTGGACGATCTGCACCAATTGCTGAGGGCTCTTGCCCAAGCCCTCCTGGCCCTCGCACAGGTTGACCAGCACCTGCGCTCAGAAGCGAAGCAACATACAGGGTGGTTGCAAGCCTCCATATCCCCCCGTCCCCGCAGGTGCCCTCTCTGAACGGACTCCAAGTGCATTGCAGGCCTGGGAGAACTTCATGTTGTAGCCGTTCCAGCCCCCGGAGGCGTGGTGGCTCTGCGCGGCCGGGCAGTGGGCATGCAAGGTGTGGACCAGCTGGTAGTGGCAGTCCATGTCCTTCATCTCCGAGCGAGTGCTGAGGAACTGCTCCTGGGCAACATGGTCAGGTGAACTGCTTGAAACAAGCAGCAGCCGACATATCTTAAGAAAGCTTCAAAGAGGAAAACTCATATATAATTGGAAACACATGGATGATACAGCTGTGTTGTCCAGTATGTTTTGGTCTAGTGCTTGAACATGAACATGCGAGCCATGGTCACAACGACTCAACTACTTTAAAGCCTGTGTTCCGGCCATTGTTGGTGAGCCCCGTGTCATATCCAGGTCTTACGGTAACCGCATCATGTAAGGGCAATACTGTAAGACAAACTATTTTCCATTGCTCGATGATGTTAATCAAGCAGTCAGCTAGACCCGGCTCCTGGCACTCATACATGTGCTTCTTGTTCACATCCGAGCATGCCTTCAAGGCGATCTCCTTGCACACGAATTGGTGGAATGAGCCCGATGAGGCGACTGACATGGGTTCTGCGTATCCAGTAGACACAAATAACGCTATCAAACAAACCAACCAACCAACCAAACCACGATGGCTAGTTCAGTCACCACACAGATTCAAACGACTCTATACTCAACCTTCAAGTGGGAGTTGCATTGTTTCCCATGATTTGTCCAAGCCACTATCACGTAGCCAAGGAAAGCGGGAAGCGCAAACATGAGCAGAACCACTGCCCCCCATACAGTTTCCAGATTGATATGTATTGTTGTTGAGCGTGTCGTTTGTTGTGTGGCTTTGAAGGGAAACAAAAGGAAAGCCATACATTTAGGAGACCGACCAAGTCTTCCAAACATACCAACCTCTCCATAGTTCACAAATACAAGTCAAGGCCTATGCTGTCGGTGCTAGGGAGAACGTGAGAACCACCCCTCCTGCAGCTTGGGGCACCATGCTGGTTTCGGCTCTCACGCTGCTCAATGACACGTTGATGCCAAAACCCTCTGCCATCCCAACTTCTTTTCCACTTTTACATATCTTACTCGCAAAAGACATGTATAAGGGCCCCTTAGCCCCTTGCAAAAGCTCTACCCCTGAGGGGGTAAAATCCGCCTGTCGCCTGGCTCGCTTGGTCCTTAAAGAGCTTCTCGTCCGCCTCCCGGTCCTTCATGGCGCCCAGGAACCGCTGCCAGGCCTCTCCGGAGTGTCTCCAAACGGATCGAGCCCCGAAACGGGGTTCCTTTAGATTCTTGAAACCAGCCCCCCAAAAAAGGTCTGTGCACATCTACCTATCTATCTATCTATCTATCTATGTATCTATGTATCTGTGTCTGTATCTGTCTCTGTCTGTCTGTTGTGTCTGTTGTGTCTGTTGTGTCTGCTGTGTCTGCTGTGTCTGCTGTGTCTGCTGTGTCTGTTGTGTCTGTTGTGTCTGTTGTGTCTGTTGTGTCTGTTGTGTCTGTTGTGTCTGTTGTGTCTGTTGTGTCTGTTGTGTCTGTTGTGTCTGTTGTGTCTGTTGTGTCTGTTGTGTCTGTTGTGTCTGTTGTGTCTGGTGTGTCTGGTGTGTCTGTTGTGTCTGTTGTGTCTGTTGTGTCTGTTGTGTCTGTTGTGTCTGTTGTGTCTGTTGTTTCTGTTGTGTCTGGTGTGTCTGGTGTGTCTGGTGTGTCTGGTGTGTCTGTTGTGTCTGTTGTGTCTGTTGTGTCTGTTGTGTCTGTTGTGTCTGTTGTGTCTGTTGTGTCTGTTGTGTCTGTTGTGTCTGTTGTGTCTGTTGTGTCTGTTGTGTCTGTTGTGTCTGTTGTGTCTGTTGTGTCTGTCTGTCTGTCTGTCTGTCTGTCTGTCTGTCTGTCTGTCTGTCTGTCTGTCTGTCTGTCTGTCTGTCTGTCTCTCTCTGTCTCTCTGTCTGTCTGTCTGGCTGTCTGGCTGTCTGGCTGTCTGTCTGTCTGTCTGTCTGTCTGTCTGTCTGTCTCTCTGTCTCTGTCTGTCTGTCTCTCTCTCTGTCTGCCTCTCTACCTTTCTACCATCTTCCTTCCCCTGCCTACCCACCTATCCACCTATCTATCTATCTATCTGTCTGTCTGTCTGTCTGTTTATCTTTACAAAACAAGTCTTTCCAGAAACACAACACTAAACCTGTGTACTTATATAATAGTTGCATATGGTTGTATACACAGCCTCAACAGAAAGACACCCCTTTGCATGTCTACTACAGTTTTTGGGGGCAAAGCACTTTTGTTGGTAGACTTCAGCTTCTTCAACCACTGAAGCCGCCATTGACTGCTGTTCACGGGGTATTCGTTTGGTCTGATGGCAGATTCACTTGCCCTTACCGCGCCACAGGGGGTTTCAGCGAAGTAACAAATATGTCTCCGCTGACCTTGAGCAGTTTTCCCCGGCCTTGTCCTTGGCCTCACCTTTAGAGTTCTGCCAGGCCCAGTACGCCTGGGTCACGTAGATGTCCCGGGCATCCACGGCGCCCGAAGTCGCGGCCACGGAGCCCGAGGCTTTGAGAGCGGAGGCCTCCACCTTGCCGATGGCCTCGTCCTCGAAGCTCTTGTCGCCGAAGCTGCAGACGTGGCTCTTGTTGGTGAGCTTGGTGACCTGCTCAAAAGGCCAAGCCCCTTGAGAGCCTTGAGAGCCTTGATGCCACAGTGCATGCTTCTGTTTGTACTTGTGATTGCATGTCTGTTTGTGTTTGCGCGTGCGTGTGTGTGTGATACATATTGTGTGATCGTATTTGCGCACCTTGGCGATCTGAGACTTGAAGGTCTCAGTGGACAGCTTACCCAGGTCATCGTCCTCCATCCAGTTCACGGAGAAGAGGTCGCCGAGGCAGGAGCCCACGTTCTTGCCCTTCACCACCGCCTGTGATACCAAATCACTTTGGAGGGGATCCCTTGGTTCATAGAAACCAGCTACCGGACCGAGAGTTCTGCAGGAAACTGGCCAACCACGCAAAAACATGAGTCCTGAATTTCCTGCAGGTTTCGTTTAAAACAAGTGGCAACAACAACAAACAAAGTCCTACACCCATAGTCCCAAAACGGTTACATGTTGGGTTTACGGAAGCTCCACAGCACTAGTGGTCTAAGGGTAGCTCCATTTCGGCATGTCAAAAATAGGGGCCACCCAGCAAATCGCTCGTGTTTTCCCTTTGGCCTTCCGTTTAAGGGCTGACACACAAAGCGCGAACGCAAAAACCCGATTTGGCCCCGTGGCCTCGTCTCCGCAGTAGGTGCCCCAGGAGGACTCCTCGCCGTTGGAGGCGGTCACCGCCAGGATCTTGCTGTCGGAGCCCAGGTCCGGGAACATGGACCCGCTCTCGCAGGCCTGGCGCTCCGAAATCCGCAAAATCCGCGTCTCTCGCAGGAATCAGGGCCCTGAGTTGGGTGGAGAATTTCACATACGCACATATTATGTTTATACATGTACAGTATGTATGTGTGTATGTAGATCTTTCTTAGAATAGGGGGGGCCAAAACATGGTTGCGTTCCTCCATGGTTTCCCGTTAAACACATGTTTTCGGGGGTCCGTTCCCTTTAGACACCTCCATGTAGAAGACCATCTGGCTGAACATCTTCTGACTCTGCATGGTCTTCAAGGTCTTGGACAAGTCGCTGACATGCAGCATGGGCCCGTTCGGGAAGGCCACGATGCCCGGGCCCCCGTGATCCACAAAATTCACGAAGACTGTGTCCTTCTCAGTGCTCTTCAGAACCTTGCCCTTGGCCTTCTGAGCGTTTCCTTCCAATGCATTGGCATCAGACCTTGACCCTCATAAACAAGGAAACCAAGAGGAGTTTGATGAAACAATGGTGTGGTGAGCATGTTTAAACCAAGGGTTGGCACATGTTGGCACCCGGTTGCCTGTGAGCACGTCCATGAACAGCTCCGCGGTGACAATGTCACCGGCGTAGTCCACCTTGCAGCCCTTATACACGTCCACAGAGTCGTTCCCTGGCTTGTTGAAGAGCTGGCCCGGGAAGGGGTTCTCGGAACTCTTGGCCACGTCGTCCTGCATCATCAGGATGATGTTCTCCGCCGGCACGCCGCTCTTCAGCATGATCTGGTATGCGTGGCAGGCATCTGCCTGGTGCCGGTAGTTGTAGAAACCCGCAGACCCAGCAGCGATGACGGCCCACTTCTCAGCTGCCGCGGCAGGAAGGAGCAGGGCGGATACCAAACGCAACATGGCTTTTGATGGCGTTGGGATCGAGGTATCAGCGGAATGCAATGGCAGTTTGGGCCTAACTAGCTGCCATGAGTTGTCTTGTACATGGGGACCAATTTGCTTTGCTTGGTGTTTCAAACCTCATCTATCACCCAGCAGGCTTGTGGTGCTCTGTCAGGGGTTCCTTCTGAGGCTATCGACCAGGATGACCATCCACTTGTAGTCCACGACGTACATGGCAAAGATCAATATCCTGGCTGCTTTCGAGGCTTCCCGCAGGCACATTGAGCCATGTCCGAACCCTTGAGGAGATTGATTCATTGTGGGTGTGACGTTAGTGAATTTGACGCCCTCACTCAAGCCTCAAGAGTGCCCGCTGCAGCAGCTCTTCAAAGCATGGTTCAAATACTTCAGTCACATGTCCCAGCGTTTCGATTTGAACGAAAAACCACCTCCAGGAAGCTAAAGAATGCCTCCAATTGGCAGGTGGTCTTCTGCAGTTGGAATCTATGGGGTAGCATGCAGGCAAAGCCTGCCTTAATTCAGAAACGCAGGCCAACACAATATTGGAGTTGTGGCACGTCGTAGCTATTGGATCGCATTCTGCTCGCGACATACGCACGGTACTGTGGCAACATTGTTACACACATGTGTATGTACATTATTTATTTACGTGTACTCAAACATTATCCCAAACCCACCCTGAGTCTGACAATGATCGTCTATTGCAACTGCACCTACTTTTTTGGTTTTAGGATTGGTCGAGCTGCCTGGGTAGGCCATGCTTTAGACATGAAATTGCAACACGATTCAGCACGAGCTTAGGTTATTCCACTTGCAATCAGGATGGGGCCTGGTTTAGCAACGCAGTGGCTGTCGATTCCTTTCAAGAAAGCTGCTTGAGTTGCAAGTAAACATCAAAACCTAGTTTTGTCTGTGAACTTGAGACACCTTCTGAGGACAAGTGCTTGGCAAAACCCTTGGCTCCTTGTCTCCAGGCGAAATCCATCTGGCATATGGAAGTGTCTCCAAATATTCTGGGCCCCAACGTGGCCGTTTTTTTTTGGTTTCCCTTTAAGCCGCCTCCCAAACGGGTACCCTCAAAAACAAGACACACCCACCGTCCAACACCCCCCCTTTCCCCCGCTCCAGGCGGAGCTCAGCAACATCGCCCAGGTGAACAAATAGTTTGGGCCTAAGTCGGACTTTTCGGAAGTCGCAGCGGGAACGATCGATCCTTCCCCTTGAAGCAGGCGGATTTGGTTCCTGGGCCCCCATGAGCATGGCATCAGCAAGCCATCTCCAATCTAACTCTTGAACTTCAGCCATTGGCCAAAGGCGCAACGGCGGACATGTGCTCGCTTCCAAGGCCCGGCACTTGGCTAAGGGCCAAACTCACGCGGCATCGCGGGTCGATGCCCAGGATAAAACTGGGCATAGGGCATGGCAAAAGGCACCAAGTGACACGTTTGCTTCAAGCAGTGCTACTTGCTTTAGAAGCTGATCAATATTGCTGCTCATGGCTGCCAACCAATGATGTACTGGCTCGGTGCAGGACAAATGATTGATGAAGTTGTCCTCGCCTTGGCAGTGTACCGGTGCCCTGCCCGCGTGAAAAAGCATGGAGCAACCTGAAACAAATCCAGGTATGTTGCGACAAGCAGCTAACTCCGAGGTGCTTCTCATACTTCAACGCAAACGTTCTACCGTATGAGTGTGCAATGTTGAATACCCAAATTTATCCAATTTAGCTTGTTCAGAAGCCAGCCGAAAGGAAAGCCACCTTTAGAAACTCTCAGCCAACAAAAGGCAAATCTTCAAGCCACTGGCATCCAACAAAACCTCCCTAATTAATAATATTTAATTCTTCGCTTCAAGCTCCGGAAAAGCAAATTTCCCAAACCACTGGCCTAGGCGCCTGGCAAACCCGCGCGACAGCTGCCATGCCCAGAATTACCAGGACGGCGCTCAAACAAACGCGGAACCTGAGGCTGGCTAAGCTCGGAACATTTTTTTTTGCTCGTCCCGAAGTCTGGGAACCCCCTTGGAGCTATTCAGGGAATGCCGAGCTCTACATTAAGCCGCATTCTAATCTGTTGGGCTGAGGAAGCTCTAACCATATTTCAAGTGAGCTCCTGTGCCTGTGCCAAAGCTGCCTTGGGGGTCAGGCTGAAACCATGACATGCCAATCGGCATTGACAGTGAGATGTCTGTCACTCCTTCCAAGGAACTTGATTGAAATCCCTACTGCACACGACCTCTGCTTTCACAACTACTAACATCATGAAAAGCGGATACCACATGGGCACAATTGACAACCCCCTGAGATGCAGGCACAGGAAAGCTGGTGAGAAAGTAGTTCTTTGAGAAGGTAAAAGGGTCCTACAGCGCAGGGGGGTCGTCTGTCGCAGTAGATGCTGAAGGTGTGTGTGTGTGTATGTGTACAGGTGACTCGCTTTCAACAGACCTGGAACAAAGGCAGCCAATACATATCCGGACTTCAATTTAGCTCACATTTGCAGGAAAAGGTCCGTCCATCCCCTTGACGGTGCCATTCCAACAAGGATTGTGTGCGCATACCTACATCCTTGCGCTGGTCTTCAAAGACATTGCGAACACGCTTTGAATCTTCACTTTTCACAATATGATCAACTGGTAAAGAGTATGTTTAGGAATGATGGGTCAGGCTTCCTTGCACGACAAGGTCCATCCGATCAAGCCTGAAACATGGCAAACCAGAGGTCACTCCATTGGTCGACACCACAAAAAGGAGCTTCCCGTCTTTCAGACGGCATTCCTACGTTGGGAAACCGGCAACTCGCCTTCTCCGGCAGGCAAATGAGCACTATGATGGAAAGAACCAGCGCCCAGGAAGACCTAGGAACCAATCGACGCGTCTCCAAGCACCAAGCAATTCCTGTTAAATCCCAACAAGTCGAAGAAAACAAAAAGTAGCTCTGGCTGCTGTGCTGTTCTAACTAACGAAAATAAGAGACCCCTACAACACTGTTACACTTGTCGACAAACAAACCATAAATCTTTCCACCTGAATGCCCGGCTTTTCAAGGCGTGATGCCATTAAGTTTGGCGCCGATCATTTGAAAGCAGCGTCCAAAGAACAACGGAATATCACGGAACATGCTCCGCTGCTCGCTTCAGCGCTGATCAAGAAGGGATATGCCTCATTGGCTCTGGAGCAGTTGGATGAGGTAAAGCTGGCTCAGATGTGTGCATGTCAACTGCTCTGGCTGCGCAGGCGGACTGTAAGCAAAGACCGGGTTTGTCTAAATCATGCAAACTTAGGCGATGGCCCCAGGAAGAAGAAAAGAAATCGCTCAGCTTGTAGAGCAGAACCCTGCGCCATGCGACATGTTCAAGCGGCTGGTGGGAGATTGTTTGAGGGATGGTCAACTCACACACAAAAAAAAGGAAATCCATGTTTGCCTCGGCCCAGTGAACAAGCCGCTCGTACCAGAGACGCAGCCAATGCCTGCAATGGAAGCAAGGCCATTTCTTTCCTGAGAGTATGGAGGTACCCCAATACAACTAGACATTACCCGGTAGCTTTAAGCATCACTCGGAAAGACTAAAATGCCACTGCACCATGATCTGGACCAACAACATTTTGGCAACCATCATCAATCATCGTTTCACAACATACGGTTTGCTATTTAAAACGAATCATGTCTGAGTCCTAAAATATAGTTTCAAGATGTTGAATGAAGCGCCACGAGCACACACGAACCAACTGTAGGCATTGCATGTGTTGCATTGAACATCCAACAAAACTCTGCCCGTCCGATCCTGCAAGCCATAGGCCGTGCGCCGGCCAAAGCCTGACCAATGTTGCACTGGAGATCCAGACCGACCAAACGCAAATTGCCACGGTCAAACTTGAAGCAAGTAATTCCTCAGGAAAAAAGCCGCTGCATGCCGATGCAGCAAAGGCTGGGGACCTGACACTGTTCGCTCTACTGCTTGCTTCTCTACAACCTGAGGCGTGTAATAACCTGCAAAGCGTCTGGCACTGCCAGACCCTCTTGCTAGTATTACCTGGGGAACTGAACCTCCAGCACGGCTTGACTAAAGCAAAGCCCCAAAATCAGAGCAAGTGCAGCTCATTCACACAATAGTATAAAACAAGTCTACGATTATGTTTATTGGAAGCAAAACACGATATATGCAAACACGACTTCGGATGATGGAACAATCGAGGGAACCACACATGAGCGAGGAGATATAGCACTCTCCATCAATTCGCTGTAGCATCTGTGCTGCAGACGAAGGGTGTGTACAAACAGCAGCTTGGCAGACGCAAAATCCTTCTTCACTGTGAGCTAACATGGCTGAGAGAGCTTCTGTTGCAGCTGGGGTCGAGGGGTGTTGCATTGCATGCCTTGAAGCCCTTACTGGCAACAATGGTTCAGTTCTGTGGGTTTGTACTCTGTTGAGGGTTCCCTTTCTCCCTGGTTTAAAAGGAGCCCAAAAGGAAAACCACCATTTTTAGGACCCCCTATTTCGACACATACCGCCCTATGATGTTCCTTGCAACCTGGTGAAGCGCTGAGCATTGCCCACACGCCTGCTGCAAGCAGCGCCACCTGGCAAACCGCCACCGGAGAGTGCTTAAAGACATGCTGCATGGACCTTCGCTGGTTTAGGCATTCGCAAAAATACGTGATAAGGATAGAGTTGGCCCAAGGTTAGCACAACTGTATGCACACAACAGCCTCAGCCTCTTGGCCCTTTTTTGCACTGCACTAAACTATGGGTGAGCATCATCTGGACCAGGTGCTCCAGAACGCCAGGCATACACTGTCGGAAAAGGCGTAGCTTGTAACGCCAAATCAGCCTAACCTTGGGTTTATCTGAGACTTTGCAGAAACCATGGAGAACTTGTTGAGCACTTCTTCTGAGTGCATAACACGCGGCAGCTAGTGGAGCTAGCAGCTTCAACAGCTCATCTATCAGCCTGGGTCTGTTTCAGAGTCACTTTGGACTGACTGCATCATGCTGGTACAAACATGTAGGCAACATTCTGCAATTCCTGCGGCACGCACCTCCAAGGAATAATACGTGGTGCCCAGGAAAGGACCACAGTTTGACAAAACCAAGTGCACATCCAAACAAACCAACACGCATAAGGAAGCGTGATGCAGCAGGTGTCAGATTGGCTGCTGATGTCTTGGCACTCTTTGTACGTGTATGCTGTGGTTGATGAGAATATGCGTCTAGGCTAATGGCGTATGAGTGGCACACAGATCGCGATGTTGCTCATGAAAGCTAAGCCCCGGACTCGTGCTTCCTTCTGAAGAGTCCTGAGAGTGCAGCAGGCTTGGTTGCATTGAACTGGGCTCTGATGTCTTTGTGCCCCTTCTTTTGCTCATTGCATACATAGATGTCTCTAGGGGCCCCTCTGTTATGTTCTGGTTCGTTTCTCCCCTTCAAACCATCCAAAGAGGTTCCCAAGTTTGAGACGAACCCACACACAAAGCACTCAGGGCCCGTGGCCTGAAGACCTCCTCATGGCCGCCACGGATGGCTTCTCCAATAAAGGTCCTGGCAGTTTGTCTCAATGGCCGCAATGAAGTAACAAAAGGGGTGACACCATGTTTGAGATGCGAAACAAACAGTCAACTTCAACACTGTGCAGGGCATTGCTCACTGCCCGTACTTCGTCAAGGCTTCCATGTTTCGACTAAACCTGAGGTGGACATAAACCCAGGGGTCTCCCTTTTCAGGACATCAAGCACCCCTGGGTTTAAGTCTACCTTGAATGTAGTCAAAAATAGAACCCTGCTGCACCCACACTTGCTGTGAGTGCACATGACATCTTTTGCCCGCCTCATCACAGCTTCAGTCACGGCATCAGGGACTGGAAACCAATTCGGCCTCGCTGTCTGTGCAAAGCTGAGGCGCTGAGTTCTTTGCATCGCATCGTATTCGAGAAGCACAGTCTTGATACTATACACACGTGCAGGCCAAAAAACATCTACAACATCAGTTTGGCACCTGCAACATACTGCTACTAGACAGCAGGTTGCTAGCGTCATGTCATTCAAGTTTATTTCATTGAATCCATAATATGAACTGAGTCTTTCGCATGCCAGTACAACCTTTCCACACGAGGAATGTGTCAAACCCATCCAAGCATCTTCCCTCTGGACACGTTGGATCCGCCGCAGCCCCCCCCGTCAGCATGGGTGAGTGGCTGCCTGTGAGTGGCTGCCTGCTTGCTAACTTGGGCCTGGCAAATGGTTGCGCAACCTATCTGCAAGGTGCCCCGATAAGTGAATACAGTAATGCCTTCGACAGGTCTAAGTCTCTGGCATGTAGTACTTGAAGCGCTGAAGTGCCTGGCGACAAACTATTTCTGTGACTTCCGAAGTTTGGCTCCGTGTCTCAGTTTCGGGGATCCGCTTGGGTGCATTCGGCAAGGAAGCCCGCAGTCATGAGGAGTCTCTAGACTTGATCGCTTTTCAATTCCCTCAGTGACTCATGCAATGCTGCTGTCAAGGTTGGGGCGTTCCTCAGCATGAAGTCATACCAAACAGATCCTTGCAGCTCGCCCCATGCTTACAGCCTGCTGATGAAGGCGCAGACCGGATGAATCTCCTTGCCATCGTAGTACGATCTGGCCGCAGCACGGATGTGAACTGACAAGCTCTGAAACACCCTGTTTCATCAATATGTGAGAACATTGAATGCATGCTGAATTGGGTGCTCAGCAATTCAAACCGACTATGCTTTGCCAGCGGCCTCAACGCAAGCAGAGTGTCTGAGACTTGGGACTGCAGCCGAGTTCTGAAGTTAAGTTTGGGCATGCTATGAACGATGCCATGATTGAACTGTTTCCTTTATTTCGGATTGCATTTCTGGTGAGAAATCCGAACCCCGCATTTGCCGGAAACAATGGAAAATAACCGAGATACATCCACGCCGCCTCTTTAAATAGCAATGTGTATAGCATTCATACAATGGGCTGAATGAAGTATTGGACAGTGTCCCCTCTGCCTATCTGACCAGGCCTTCTACCGGGTTCAATAATTTTCATGCCACTTCAAACATGCAATGACATCTCGGAGAGCGAATCTGTGCACAACGACTCAAAGCACAAATGCAACCACATAAACACTCGGGTCTGATCCATGCCCCGCCTCTGTTTTTGCTTCCAACAGCTCTTCGAAATCCTGGCAGTTCCATCAACGCACGGCTCAGACACAAACAGCATATTCAAATTCCCACATGTTGGGATTCCACGGGTGTCATTGTGTGAAATCCAGCAGCATTCGTTGTAGGCTGGCCAACCGCAGCCAGTTCGATCCTTCTGGTACTCGATGACGCCCGTGTCATTGTTCAAAAGGCCAGGGTTGATGCCAAGAACCTGACTAAGACTCACATTGGGTCGCGGTCTAGTACAATAGAAATTCCCGTCCTACTGAACACGCGCACGGACATTGCCACTGCATTCGGTTCACTTGTGGGAAGCCAAAGTGCAATCCTCACAATGCCTGGCCTGGATTTCTGCTCGGCAAGGCGATTGCCGGATCTTGCAGGTCATGCGCACCTGCAAGACTGTGCGGTAGGGCGCCAAATCCCTGACCTATGAAAATTTGGGAATCCTTCAAAGCAAACAAAACAGGTCGAGGCAATCAAAGGAGTAAGGCTGCGCATCGCAGCCATCTTGCCATCGCCCAAAATACGCGTCTGCCTTGTGTGCAGATTCGTCTGGACGTCCTGCCTGTGAAGTGAAGGGGCCGATGTCCATGGAAGGAAAGAAGAGATAAACGACATCACCTGCAGAGCCAGGTGGAGTCACTTAGCTTGCACTCATGGGAAAGCGTCAATCTTAGGGACTGTACTTTTCTGCAAGAAACAAAGCCTTGGGAAGACGCCAACGTCATGTTGACACATTACAGTGGTAGTTTGCTGATGGTCTCTGCATGCTCAGTGGAACTCCGCTCCGTTCCCCCACCCAAATCTGACAGCAAAACAGCTGGAACAAAAGAATCATGTCAGGAGTACTGTGTCAGCCTCAATTGGATTTGCAATTCACTTCAGAATCAGCTAGAAAAGGAGTTATCTAATTGAATCCAAATTGAACATGCAAGTAGCCAGGGTTTAATGGGAATACACAATCCACAAATAGCAAATCATATGACCTGGGTCGCTCGCGGCTACAACATGTCATATCCTGCTGTATGGGAAGTGACCCACTGTCAAAGTCAGAACGATCACAACACGCCTGTACCCAAGACCTGATTCGGAGTACAGGGGCCATGCTGATCTTGTGTTCAACCCTACGATTGACGCCGTGCCTTCCTTCTCAGTGCGCTCCACACCACTGAAAAGCACCTCTGTCGCCTTGTCCTCCATGACTTTGTCCATCCATTCGACGCTGCAGCCTGAAGCAATGACATGGCGTGTGAACCAGGACTGCCAACGCACATTGTGCCGCACTGCAGCAACAACAAATCAGCGAGAACCTGCCTGTCAGCCATTGACATCCACCCTGCCAGCCCATCCCCAACATCTGCCCTGCCGGTGCCTGGCAAATCTTGTCTCGCCGTCTGCTCCACCACCACTCTCACTGGGCGCCCCTCTGCCCGTCGTGCAGTCCGCGCACGTGTGCGGATCGCCTGCGCACCGCGTGAGGCCACAAAGGCCGCACACGCCGCGCACGCGGTGCCCGGTGTCGTTCTGGATGCGCGTGGCGCGCTTGTTTGGGATGCGCATGTGTGGGGCGGGGCAAAGGCAACGCCGCGGGGCAATGGCAGGACCAGCGCCATCGACGCTGGTAATTTGAGTCTGATTGATTGGAAACCAAGTGTCTCTGTTAAAGCTTGGCTGACGATGCATGGTAAGCAAATGAGTTGAGTCGTGAATGCTGTTGGGATAGTGGAAGCTTGGTTGGGAGGTACACATGCGCAGAGGCGGGAACTGGGAATTAGACAATACCCCCCTGTAAACAAGGCTGGCACGACATTGCGCAAGGATGATGTTGCAACTCTAGGCACTCGCCTTGCAGTTTAGAATGAGTGTCGCTGTGCTGTGGCTGCTGTGGGTCTTTCCAAAATTTGAGCCTCGGCAGCTGAGTCGGCAGTCACCAAGCTGATCCCGCATATGCCTGTCCGGCCATGTTCCGAGCAAAAGTCATGGTCATGGCCGATGCTTGTCATCAGCAACCATTCACTGGCAAACAAGTCATCCTTTTCGGAGCCAAGACATCAGGTGCAGCGACCGCATGTGATCATCCAAAACAGAACTCCCCCTTTCGAGATACTCTTTATGGAAAGCATTTGAATAGCACCATGGCTAGTTTCAAGAGAAGCCAAAGGGGAACCGCCCATGTTGAAGCTTCCCCTGTGAGACAAGCACGATTCTCATTCACATCATCCAGTGTCTTGTCCTTCGTGTTTCCGCGCCTCTGGCGACATCTCCGTGTTGGATGGCTGCCGCTGAGCAAAGGCCTGGCCAAACATCACACCCAAAGGTACAGGAGCACCACTGGCGGCTTTTCCTCTTTGGTATCGTTCTGAACCAACTACGATACGGCTGGTCGAGCAGCCCTAGCGTTCGCTGGCCCACGCCAAGAAGGGTCAACCAAAAAGTAACCTTCAGCTAAAAGTAACCTTTAGCTTGACAAGCAATCTGCGCAACCCAGCTGCACCTGACCTCTCTTTGGCTCACTTTTCCGCAATCACGCCACATCTCAAGGTGCAATTCAGAGCGCCTCGCGGACATTCGCATCCAGAGCTTCTATAGCCGAAGTGTCGCTGATGCGGGTGCCCTGCACGCGGATAAAGAAACATACGCTGAGCACGCACGGGACATAGCCGCTGCAAAATGTGGCTCTCACTCTCTTTCTTTCGGAGGTGAAATTGGGCAGCCTCATTATATCCTTCACCATTCAACCCGTGGACTATGTAAAACACTGTCGGTCATTGCATTCGCGATTTTCATGCCCACGTATCTGGACCCTCCAAAAGTACAGAAATGTCGTACATTTCCCAAAAATACGTACCTGTACACTTTGTGGGAAACTTAATGGACAGCGTCTTCAGGAGGCTGTGAGCGTTTGTGGTGTGGTGTCCGCTGTTCGGGCTTACACAGCTTGCAACACAATATATACTGCCCTCAAATCTAATTCCGCGTCATGCCTGATGTCTCTATCTGCTTTGAGGCCACGTGTGACAGTTTCCTTTCCTGTTTTTTTCAACTGCGCATAGTGTGCTGGAAAAGTACGGACGTCTGCGGAAATTTGCCTGGTTGGTGAATTGCCCACATTAACTTGGCTTTTAGCCCGGAGAGCACGACAGCACCAGAGTCAGAGCCGGAGCTTAACGTTAGGTTCTTGCAGCAAAAACAAACCGTATGTTCATGGTCCTTGACTTTGTAAGGTCACTCGCAACACAAGCTAGTTTTGGTCAGATGTATGGATGTCAACTAAATGCACTGATGTTTGTGGATATTATTTGAAAACAACTGCCCTTAGGTGGTCCAGGTGACGAGGAATGTCACAAGCCACCCGCTGCTACTTCTGGAATGAGCGTAGAAACAGGTAGCATGGCAAAATGAGATCATGCAGGTGTCTTGTAATCAGGAGTCGTCCCGCCAAGCGTGTTGATGTAAACATTGCAGCTTGTCCCATCGTTCTAAAAACAAATCCTCGATGTTTGCGTAAGCATCAAGCAGGCCGGGTCAAACCGTCCACCTCTGTAAGTGCTTGTGCCTCCACCATGCTATGATAGATCACAGCGACACCATCGCTCCGCTCCAACAGCTTGTCCCACTTCCTCATGATCTTGTACCTGGAGTCTCAGGGCTTGCAGCTCGGATGTGAAGTTGTCCGGAAACCTATGCCCATCCATGAATGAAAGAACATGAAAGAACATCCGGGCATTGCGCGAGAAATTCCAAACTGAACATCAAGTGCCCGCAACGAGCTGCTTTTGACTTGGAAGTGGCCCAAACAGGGAGAGGGGACCAGTGGGTAGGTGGTGCATCGAAGCATTTCTGTTGAGTTTACCCATCATAGCTGTTGTCCATCCACAGTATCTTTTGTTAAGCCTTAAGCTCGCGCTGCAAGCGGATGTCTCGGATTGATCCAAGCTGCACCGCCGCATGGTTCAGCTCCGCGTAGCCCTTGAGTCGATAGATGCCCTCAGCCAGGCGCCCCAAAGCCTGGCGACGTGGGTTGGCTTCGAGGGTACCCTTTTCAAGTTGGTTTAAAGGGAAACCTGAAGGACAACCCATTTTGGGACATACGCAAGCCACGGTGCATGACGTCGAATCTGCGACGGTCGGTGCCATGGTGCCAGTGGGGGTATTTAGCTTCTTGGACTCCTCCGTGGCGAACGGTTGGCACCAGGCTGAACCACATGGCTAGCGACTTTCGATGGGGAACCACGTGGAAAGTGGTTGGTGGACGTGAATCCCCAACGAATTTTGATCTCCAAAGGATCCCCGATTAAAATACACACCGATATGACATTGAACAACTGTTCATGGTGCACCATGTCTGCGACTTGTGCGGTCCACCTGGTTTCGCAGCTTACATGTCTTTACGGAAATCAACCATACCTGCCACTGCCCACTGCAGAATCTGCCGGGCATAGCCAGGCCAGAACAGCAGGTGCCTGACAAAAGCTGGAATTATATTTTTTGAGTATCATTGTTGCTCTCGCCGGATGTGTGTCAAACGACCCTAAAACGCGTGCAAATATACAGGGCAGGCCCCGATCTGCCCGGCCTCGAACATGTTGAGCTCTAGGAAGTGGCTCATGGGGTTCTGTTGCGCTTCTGCGCCTGAGCCTGGCATAAGCACAGCCCTTGGAACCGACTCCCAACTTAGGCGTGGGGGCGCAGGGAGTGTTAAGGGACCAAAGGAAGTGAGGAGGGATGTTTTGAAAGATCCGGCTAGACGGTGCTGAAGCCTGATTCTCTGTACGGCTCGGCTGGCAAGGACCGAGTAAACAAGTGGACTACCAGGCAGCCTCCTCGCGTCCAATGTTTGCAGCTTTCTTTGGTTCGCGGACTGGGCAAAATAAAGATACGGCGTTGGTTAAAATCATACTGCCCTAAACTCAATCCACAAACCCCAACCACTAATTAAGCCCCGTCCGCAAATGTCCTGACTCAAAATCTCTGCCGCGCGCCAAACAAACAAGGACATCCCAGCCCATGCGAGCTTTTCACCACCGCACGCTCCCGAAACAAGGCTTCCAAGGTATCACCTCTTTGAGGTGACACATGAGGCTTAGCGCGGTTCGATGCGGCTCGCGGCAAACACGCGAAGCAGGCGAACCTGTGACTGATTCATCACTGAACCTGCTGCAACTGGATCCCAACGGGGATTCGACTGGAACAAATGAGCGGGGAGTCCAAGGCACCAATTCAGCGATTTGCGGTTCGACCGCTTGCATTGGCTCCCCCTCGAGATCCTCCAAACTTGGCTCCTGCAAGCCGACAGCTGTTGGCTGTACACGAGGTAAACGTGGTTTAGTGCCGCACTTGCAACATGACACACCAGTGCCATTCTGTCAACATCATGTGCGCATCTTCGCGGTCAATCCATCCCAACGTGGACCATGAACACAAGTGTTAAGCAGCCAGTTCGCTGGTCGGTATTCACGTCTCAGACAGCAGGGAAGCCACGGGTCTTCGACCTGCGTAGATAAGCTGCACTTTTGACTTTGGAAGGACCTGAAACTGACGTCACATAATCCACATATGATTGGATATGTTGTACGTGATTGGTTGTATGGGGGGCAATGTTGCTGTGATCTGTAAAGACGCTATCAGGCAAGCCTTAGGTTGTGAGATGCACTGCTTGCACAAAAGCAAATCCTGGAATTGATATTGGCGAAGCATATCTGTGATATACATTGTGTTCACGTGAGAAGTGCAAGTGGTCCCTCTCCCTCCCTGTAGGGGTCTTGAGAACGCATTCATCTCTTGGAGTTCAGGCGCACATAAAATCAAGTCCGACCTCGATCAACGGCAAGATCGCCGGGAGTTCTGCCCTTCTGGTCCTGCAACATGGTTTGAAGGCTCTGTCTTGTTGTGAGCTTTGTTTTTGTTCGACGAATCAAAGTCCCAGGGATGAGCAACATGTCCTGCGTGTAACATCCCTGCTCGTCTTGAAACCAACCAAGAGTGTTTGATTGAAGGGAGTAGGCTCAGTGGTTTGCATCTCATTCCTTCCCGACACAACACATCCTCGCTGTTTCCGCTATGATTCAACATGTTCAATCTTCAACTGTAGCAATCTGAGTTGGGCTCCCTCCAATCTCCTTCAAAGCCAGAAGCGCCCGTCGGTCAGGTGCCAGACCTCGTCAAACTACACACATGTTGTCTCAAGTGTGGGACGCCCTGGTTTGATGTACACGTGAAGATGTGTGCATAGAATAACATAATCTATATATATATATGTATATATTATACATAATATAGGTATATATGTCAATGGTGCCGAACAACTGCACAAGCAAAAAAAACGTGGCTGCTGTCAATTTAATAGCTGCGAGACCCATGCATATTTGCTGTAGAACATAATCCAGAGAGGGCAGTTGTCACAACCCACAAGCGCACAAGTTACAACTATGTTACAACTCTACGTCTATTGAGAATGGCAGCAATAGTGCTTGACTATGTTCATTTCTGTCCTAATATTATTGTCTAAGAGATGCCAGGGAACTAATCAGAAAATCGACCAAACTTTGCCAACGCCTGGCTTCTCCATCATTATTTCCCACGCACTCGTCTAGAGCGTGAATGAGTCAGTGATTTGTTTTTCTTTCCAGGCTCACCTTTCCATGTAACTCCCATTTGTCTAGTGTTTCTGTTAGTGAGCAGCACCTCTCTTCCTTTGGTCTTCCTCTCTTCATCACGGCGGGAGAAGGGAAAGCCGCGATGAGATGAGATGACGAGAAAGAGATGGTCATTTTATCTCCTGGATGGTTCGGTGCGTGTGGTTGCTTCTCAACATGCGGTCATGTGAAAATGGCTGATGGCGCAGTTCCTGGCCTCGACTCCAGGTAAATCATTGGGAACCCTCTGGTAGACATCATTTACATACTTGTGTCTCCCAACCCTGTTTGAGGGTATGATCTATCACAAAAGCCCAGAATCCATCCAGGCCACCATAGACCGCTCCGGCCGCCTCAGGCCCCGGCGGAGCAGCGCTTTGGCTGCCTCCTCATGGCCGCGGTAAGCCACGAGGTGAAGTGCCTAGGCGCAAGGGAGACTGCCCTAGTGGACAATTGGGTATGGGTCAAAATTGAACCACCAGGGAACCGCAGGTTTTGGTCCTTGTTTCCATTTACCAGGATTCCATTTTGGGTACATATGTTTGACCCACAGCCGACTCAGCTAGTACAAAGACACTGACTTGGTTGTTTCGTGAGCCTACTCCTTCTCCCCCCCCCCCCGATTGTTGTGTCGAACAAACAACGTGCGCCACTCGCACGAGCAATAACCTAGCTAGTCTACCTCAGCTGCTGACCCCTTCACACAGTTGCAGCCACTGCCCATGGATGACGCCCTCGGAACAAAACATGTGATTTGAACCTTACAATCCGCAATGCTGTCAAAGGTCCCAGCAATGTTCTGTCGGTCCATCTACGATTGCGTTCACATGCCTCGGATTCATACGGTCTTGGAGTCAGCACTAGGTCAGCTCTGCCAAGCGGATTGTTTTCCCTAATCTGGCATACCATTGATAGACTCAGTTGTCACATTATGTTGTGAAATGATACCCAGGACTCAGCACTTTAAGTAGTCCAAGTACCTTGCCCGCATGTGTCACAGTGCGACGGCCCTGTCAAGACTTTGGAAGGAAACCAGTAGGAAGGCAACCACTCAGAGCCCAAACGCGTGTACGCACGAATGCGGGGGGAATCTCAAAGGTAGACAGACTATTGCATCCCTCCACACAGCAGAGTAAAACACCTCCAACCCACAGCACCAGGAGCGCGGCAGAAAACCCATTCCACTTCTCCAAGGTATCCTTCAAGCGCGAGCCCCGGTCCGGGTCCGACTCCAGCCTGGGAAAGGGAGGGATGGCAGACTTCCAACCTGTATGAACCCTCGGAACAGCTTCGAGGTCCAAAGAGGGAAGAAGCTTGCAAAGGAAGCAAGGAATGCTGGCAATAGCTTCCGTGGCAACAGAACTCCAAAACATAAGACAATCCAGTGAATAAGTTGACAGGCAACTGTAGTTGAGTTGTTGCTGTTTATCCAATCCAGCTGGGGTTCACAAGCAAACAACCTTCACTCATACCTTCTTGACAATGGCTTTGTTTGAGCCACGCTCCGCGAGCTGATGCGACAAACACATTCTGCCTCGTCCATTGCATTGGTGATTAGAAACGGAAAATGCTACTTGCTCAAAGGGCATTTAGGCTACCTGGGAGTTTGTCGGGACCCCCGGAGGAAGTTGGTCAAACGTGACTTCTTTGGTTAAGGACGGGTTGGGAACCCACAGTAAAGCCCCCGAGCTCCCGGCAGGGTCTCCACGACCCCGGTCTGGCCCTTCTCGCAGGCCAGCTGCAGCCTCGGCCGCAGGCTCCGAATCGGCCTCAACTTTTGGTATGTCTTACGGAGACACTAGTTCCATGAGTGACGAGGCTTCATGTTTACTTTTTGAATTGTTTTTCTTGGCACCCATTTTGCCGTTTGCGAGAGACGGCTTTGTAAGCAGTCGCCACTCACTAGGATGTTTGTACAATGCTTTGAGAGTACAGCTGAACTGCAAGCAAAACAATGAGCAGCGTATGAAACCATCTGCATATGGAAAATGGGGGGAATAGGTTTTGTTGCAGGCTTCTGCGCTGCACGTGTCTTGATCAGAAACAATCATTGGCTAGATGCATGGTTGCCTGAACACGAACAATGACAAGCTGAGGGGGGACCGATGCTGCCATCGATGTAAATTGCTAACCTTTGGATCTATATGTGTGTGTGTGTTGAGTGTTGCCCCGCTGTGAAACAGACTATAATATGCCTCCAAGGGCGCGCCCTACCGCAGATTGCTGCAACACATTATCGTTATTCATCATCATGTATCAAAACAACATCTGTCTAGCTACATATATATATATATATGTGTGTGAATCATACAGCCGTCATTCAGCTACTGCTTTGTTTGTATACATAAATGGACACCCCCACACAAAGCAGGCACAAACACATGACACTGGCCCACGCAGGCACACATACGAGCAAACGTCAAACAACGAACACGAAGACTTCCACCAGAGAACGAAGTCTCGGGCTTACATCATTGTTGAGCTCATGTAGGGGACGGGGCTCCTTTGGGTCCATATCAAAAGGACATGAAAGTAGCCGTATAGCGATGCTCTGAGCTAGCCTCCTGCTCATGAGCAGGGATTTTTTGCTGCAGCAACCGTCACTCGGCACCTGTAGGGGCATCGGTCAAACATCTGAAAGGGCATCGGTCGGGGGGCGTCGGTCGGGGCTTGGTTTCCCGAAATTGCGTTGTCTAAGGGGCTGTCTCTCTGCTTGTATTTTACATCACTCCCCATGCTGAACGGCCACAGCACGCCACGCGCGTCACGAGCAATCTGCGCACCATGCCTTACTACGAGCCTCTTGTCACAGACCTGGCCAGCATGGTAGGCACGCCTCCGACAAACATCTGCGCGAGCCGCGCTTTGCGCGAGCCTGCGCTCTGTGACAAGCTCTGTCACACAGCCGTGTTTGACAAGCTCTGTCAGAGCTACTTGTCACATCTGTCTGTCGCAGGCTCTGTCACATCTGTCTGTCAGATCTGTCTGTTGCATCTGTCTGTGAAAGGCTATCTGTCACAGGCTCTATCACTTCTGTCTGCCAGATCTGTGTATCACATGTGTCTGTCACAAATGTCGCAGGCTCTGACCAAAATTTACCAGCCCAAGTTTGACGCGCTCTTCCACGGTCCACTCTGCCATGACTTTTACCAGATTACAGGAGCCAAAAAAGCTTTTACAACAAACCATGTAGCATTGCACGTATTTACTCTTATAAAGGGCATCGGTCTTGGGTAGGCCCCCATTGGTTTTCGGGGCTTTTAATAAGTTTTTGGGGATTATGAGCTAAGTGATGTCGCGCCGAATACAGCCGCAATCATTCAATAATATTGTCGGGTACTAATGTGTATATATATATATATATATTGACCCATTGTATACGTACTTACTTTGTTGGCACTCAGGATTTTGTTGCTGGGCTCCTTGCGGTGTGAAGCCGCCAGACTTGTCCTGATGCTCATGGGACCCCAATTGGCTCCGTCGCAATGCACCGCCTTGAACGCCCCCGCATGATTCGCACAAATCTTCGCGGAAAACCTGGTACGAAGTTGAGGCATTGCAAAGTGACTGGTCAAACTTCAGCAGATCGCTTCAATAATGAATTGACGGACTCAAAAGCTCGCTCCGGCCTTGGCTGCTAGCAAGGTCGAAGCATTCGGTGCAAGCCTTGCATGGCGCTGCGTCACGGAGGCTGTAAACTTATAACTTCTTAAACCATGCTTGTCATCGTATCACAGTGCGGAAGCTTGGCTGATTGATTGTTGTCAGCATCCCCACTGCAAAAGTGACTCTCTCAGGCCATGTGCAGTGTTGGAGTCAGAATTGAAGAAGCTAAGAGAACAGTTCTGAGAAGGGCCTCATCATCCCACATGTACTTGATATAGAATGCAACCGGCACCACCTTGTGGCTTCTTTGAGTGGGCGCGCAATTCTCCGAGCTTGGAATCACCGTTTTCGGAGGAACAGGCGTCCGCACTTTCGGACTTTCCTTCCTTCAGGCTATCCCGGCGGGTTGCCACGCGCCGAAAGGAGTTGCCTGTATTTTCGATGGACCTTGGTGGACCTTCGCAAACTTCAAGAAGCAAAAGACAGAACCACATTAATTTGCCCATGAGTATAGCTGATGGCAACTTGCCCATGACGTGGCCAGTTTCGAAGCAAAAAGCTCTGGGCCGCCCAGCTCCAACAAGACCTTGCACAGCTCCGCATGGCCGGCCCCCGCGGCCAGGTGTAAGGCCTAGTTGCTGGAGGGGGAGGTTTCCTTGTGGTGGAGGCAATCATTGCTACTCACAACTCTCATTCTATCACTAGCTTTGTTGTGCTCGTTACTGGAAGTTGCTTTCAACTAGTTGCCACGGTCTTTGCTTGATACTGGAGAAATACCTAGATCTATCACTACCCATTGTTTCTTTGCTGTTGCTTAGAACCTCTGTGTTCAAAAGGCAACATAAGCTTTCGTGGGTGATGTTGAAGGGCAAATATGTGCAAATATAGGGAACGTGGATATTCATGAAATGGGGGTGTCTCCAAATAAGGGAACACCCCCCCAAAAAAAAGAAAAACAAAAACATGGGGCCGTCATGGGGCCCGGTTTCTTTCTGACGTAGAATGCCGGTCCCAAAAGGGTATCCTCAACAAAGAGACGCACTCGAATGCGTGATCTTGAGGTCTCCGATCTTTCCCTGGCATGATGGTGCGGTTTTGGGGGTCATGGGTTTCGGGCAGTCCACGTGCCGAAAATTTGATGAATGTCCAATTCAGCTACAAGTACTGCTTCACAGTCACAGTTGCTCAATGACGGTAGAACTACGGAAACGGACCCCAAAAAACAAGTGCCATGCAGCTGCTGGGTTGTGCCGGTTTGCGTAGAGAGGCTGTTCCCCCCCGATCTGTCAAGTCAGCCACAGGAGCGCAGCAGTGCGAAACAAATTATGTGTTTAAAAATTGGGGACTCCACATAGTTGGTTGCATGTTGTTCTTTTTCCGCAAAGCCATACATGGCCCCCAAATGAACGCGTAACCTGAGCCTCCCGCCGTTTGCCCAGCAAACCTCTCTTGGGCCAGAAGTAGGCCGTCAATATCTGGGCAAAGCTCCACCCTGCGCCGGTGGAAACATGCAGCCGTCGCCCAAGCCAGTCTCAGGGAACATCGGTTTGAGGTATTGTCCCATTGTACTCAGCATCCGAGGAAAGAATCGCAGGGAAGGCCATTCATGGATGTTGGCTTGGTTACTCATCAGTATTGCTGGCCATGTCTGTTGCTTGGCGAATTGAGCATCCTGCAACAATCAGAAAGGAGACGACGACAACCAAAATTGTCACAGCCCACACGAGGTTCCAGTGTTTTGCAGTTACCTTCCGATTGTCTTCCGGTGTTGTCGATCACTACCCTTCTACAAGGCGCTGGACTGGCTGAAAGACAGCAGGCCGGAATGGGCTGCTGGCCGAACAAGTCCGCAACAGCTAATACCGTGCCCACTTGCATTCGCCTCCTGCTATACAGAATGGCACCCGCAGCGATTGGCCATAACTCGACCAGCAGCTCAAACCACCAGGCTTCCGGGCAGGGTACGGACAGTCTCCAAATGACCGCGCCTGGGCCAAATGATTCCTTGTCCAATGTTTGTCTGTCATCAAATGAGCTAGCCTACACTTCTTGCCTTTCACGAGAGGGCTGTGCCGACTCCAGGACCATGCTGTTGAAACCTCAAAGGATATTGTACTAACATCACGCCAACCCACCCAAGGCAGACCGGCACAAATACCATCCTGAGGTAAAACCTCGCACGCTCGCACAGTCCATTCGCACACTGCACGCAGGGTACTCAGAGGGTACTCGCGCAGCACATGTCATAGTTGCATTTTGCAACCTCTTGAATCCAGCGAAGTCTCACCTGTGTTCACGCGTATCGCTGCTTAAGGAACCCGCACAAAACCAAATCGATGAAACTTTGCCATATTCAGGCCATAAGCTGGTCAACAACTGCTTTGAAACTAACTCCCATCCAGTCCGGCAGCAAGCCAACTAACAAACTGGCCAGGCTGCACTTTATGCAGCTGACTGCCTGCCAGCCGGCCACGGCCAACCAACCAACTAAGCAATGAATCTGAACCGAACCTCGCAACTAAACCAAACCAACAAACCAAACCTAAGCGAATCGCGTCCAAACCGCATCCAAACCAATGCTGTTGGCAATCGGCACCGGCCCAAGCCCACTGACAAATCTCATTCATGGGCCACCGGGCTCGGCGGCCAGGTGCAGTGGGGTGCAGCGGCCCCCGCGGTCCGTGGCCAAGGACGTCTCACGGTAGGGCGAAGCCGTGAGGATGGCGCGTACCTTGCGAGGCACATGAAAAGCCTCGAAAACGCGCAAGCAACACAAAGGCATAGATGCATTCCACGAATATCGGAGAGTCAAGCAAGAGTGCCAGGAGCTTGTGGCAGCTTACTCGGATTCGCCAACTGGAAATCATCCAGGTAGAACCCTTCATCAAGAGCTTGTCCAGAGCCCATTCTGAGGCATGTGCTGCTGCAGTGTGGCCAGACTCCGCTGCCATGTGCAAGGCTGACTGGCCTGGAGCAGTCCCGAAAGGATTGCGGTCAGCCCGGCAGAACCACATGCTGATACCTGATGGTGGACATTCAATGATTTAGGGTGCTTTTGCAGAATGGGATAGAATGGACCACGATACATGGAGGAAAGAACAACACATCAGGCCAGCGCGATGTTCTTGTCCATTAGTGATCTCAGAGTGATCTCCCCATTTGCTCGACGCCCTGCTTTGCCTCACCCAAAACAAGACAACATCCTGATCTTCTCGCATAAATTCAAACGTGTTGCCAGCAGAAACTATCCGGTTAAAGCCCTGTCCCCAAAAGCCTAACTACCATCCATACATTGCTCCCAAAGAGTTGGACTTTTCTACGCGACATGGCAAAGGGGGCCTGACCACTTGTGGCAAGTGTGCCGTATGGCAGTCGACTTTTCGCTTTGAACATGATCATGATCATGTTAATGAATCTATTAATGAACATACTTACAGCACAACCGCACATGTATATATAATATATTATGCCTCTCTTCAAAACGAAGCACATCTTGGGTCTCGATCTACTCTATTGGCCCAGGATTCTGGTGGCAAAAATACGGACTCTGATTGGCCTTCGGTCTTTGCGGCCTTTGGAGTATGCAGAACAGCTCCCTCTTCGTTTCGAATCGATGAACAACTTCTTGGAAGCTCCTACAGATTGTCAAGGCCCGTCCCACCTGCCACCCAGTCGAAAGAATCTGGATGGGCAGCTGGCAAATAATGTAGGCTAATGTAGGCCAGCGAGCAGGACATAACACATAATGTGAATATTCAATGGATGGGAGTGGTGTGGGGCATAAATGAGTCCTGTCACGGCGAAGCCGAAGACCTCTAGACCGCTCCAAACGGTGGATGTGCTACTGCCTTCCTTTCAGACACACATGAAGAGATTCAAAACTCGAATATTGGGGTCTACAGTACACCGCCCCCCCGCACCCTTCAAGTTTGAGACAAGTTGGACTCACTGTGGTCAGGCGTTTTCCACTTTTATTGTGCCCCGCCTTTTCCCGGCCGATTCGCAACCGGCCTGTGATCCGCTCCCTGGCCGACACCAAAACGTGGTCTGCGGGGGTGAGCAGCTTGTGCACCTTGGAAATGGACACCGAAGCCACAAGGGGACCAGGGATCGGGGCCTGGAGCAACCTATGCCAAGAGTAAAAAATCGAGGAAGCAACTCTTTAGCGCCGTGGAACCTCTTTAGAAAGGAGGTTCCCTCCAGCCACTGCCTGGACTAAAGGATGGGATCCCTGCTCTTCGAGCCAACAGATTCACAGCTGGGTCTCCCAATCTATTCGTTTCGCCATCCGCTTTTTCAAAGCCTGCACAATGCAACGTTCACCTTTTCCTGCATTCGTGCTGTTGTGGAGGGAGAACGAATATGAACGAATGCCCCATCCCGGTCTTCGCATGCTGGGGCTCGCTACCACGGCGCCGTGGCCCTTCTCTGCCGCCAAGTGGAGCGCCGTCTGCCCCAGCTTGTCGGACCTGCCGTGAGCTGGAAACCCAAATCCCTGGTATGGCTGAGGAAGCGGCAGCCCTCAATTGGATCAAGCAAAGTCAGGTGCCGGGAATGCCCAAGAACAAGAGCTGACTGTTCGAACACATTGGTTTCAAGCTTAATCATGGGAGAAGAAAAACAGGGAGTCAGCACAACTCTTGAGCTTGGCAGGATGCTGAAATGGGACCTGTTGCTTACAACAAATCAACATTGAACCTAAAGGGCTCTTGTGCGCCAAATTCGCTCACTTACGATCACTACCAAAGCTGGTATCCTTGTCATGGCGTGTTTATCACTCGGTCCTCTCCCCTCACAAGCTGAGGAGAGCACATTTGAAGCAAAGCGGTCCTGTCTGGAGCAGCTCCAAGCAGAGTCTCCACCTAAAACATGGACGCGTCCCCAAGTCTGGCAGAGACTCCGACTAGGATGACATTGCTCCATTGTCTATTGAATTGAGCTAAAGTTACCCGTTACCCCGAGTGGCAGCTAGCAACCTGGTCAAAGGGTGACGTAAACGGAAAGCGGAAGCTGGGCCCTTGGCCACCTCCTTCTCTCCCTTGTCTGCGGCAACGTGCAGCGCCTGTCGGACACTGTCAGAATTGGCGCCCCCCAGCGGAACTGGATCCGGAAAGAAAGAACAAACCGAAACACCAATGCAGAGGCGTTCTTCATGTCAGCCCCTCTAGGGAAAATCCAACAAGATTAGCAGTCGTCCCAGCAAACTGCTCACATCGACCTGGGATGGGTTAGGTGAATTTGGGTGTGGTGTCGGCGATTCACGATTCCTTCATTGACGTGTGCAAACACGAGATGCAATGCAGTGAACGAGCCTCTACAGGGAAAGCGAGCTCGTTCTCTCTAAATGGACACACCCCGCCTTCTGGGGTATGTACCCTGGATGGTCCATGTACAACCCTTGTGCAGCCTATTTATAACCGCTAGCTGATTTTGGGGTATGTCCGGTATGTCTGTTTGGACTACGCAATTTAAGAAGGATCCTACATTCTCTGCAGGTCGTGCCAGCCAAAGCCAGGGACCCCTCCAAATGGCTTGATGTTGGTCCCATTTTTCAGGCCATTCCCGGAAAGGTATCCAGCTTTGTCACACAACAACACAATTATCAATCTTAACACTGCAACGCTCAATGCCGAGCTGCCGTTTGGCGGTCGAAGCGGTTCACCGCAGTCAGGAGCAGCGTGGCGCGGTCGCTCAGCTCTTTGCTTTGCCTCAGGACTCAAACTGTCCGCTGCGAGCCAACAAAAACTCAAAAATGCAACTCTCGGACGCCTGCGCGCACGCGTGTGGGCAAAAGTGTGTGTGAGTGCGCGGATTCTGTGTGTGTGTGCCCGCTTTTTTTGGACGTAGTTGTGTGCTGTGTGACCTGGCAAGGTTGCAAAGCTGCAGCCCTTGCCATACGTGAATATGTGAGAGATATTGTTGTGCATGATTCTTTGTGTGATTGTGTGTGCTTGTGCCCGATTGTATGTGTTTGTGCTTGTGTGATTGCGTGATTGTGCTGTATGGCTTTATCATCATTACTGTGTGCCATTGTAAATGTGATTGCGTGTGTGATTGCGATTGTGATTGTGCGATTGTGATTGAGTGTGATTCTGTGGGTGTGAATGTGTATTTGTGTGACTGTGCGTGTGATTGTGATTGTGGCTGCGATGATGCATGATTGTGTGAGGTTGCGTCTGTGTGATTGGGACCGTGAGTATATGCGTGTGGCTGTGTGTGTGTGGCATTGGGAGTGTGATTGTAGGTGCTTGTGCGTGTGGCTAGTTGTGATTGTGTAAACGTGCGTGTGCGACCGTGTGTGATTGCATGTGTGAAAGTGCACTTGTGCGTGGGTGAAGGTGATTGTTCGTGATTGCCATTGTCTGTGTGTCTGATGACTTTTCACTGTGGGTGTGTAGGGGTGATTGTGAGTGATTGCGTGTAATTTTGTGTGATTGCATGTGTTTGATGTTGCGCGTGATTGTCTGGGATCATGATTGATTGCGTGTAATTTCGTTTGATTGATGCGGTATGTGTGTGTGTGTGTGATTGTGACTGCGTGCGTGTGTGCGTGTGAGCCTATGTGTGATTGTGTGCGCTTCTGATTGTCTCCATCTGTGGGTGATTGTGGCTGTGTGTGTGTGTGGGTGAGTGTGCTTGTGTGCAAGCGCCATTCTGTGAAATGTCATTCTGTGTGCGATTGTTCTGTGATTGTGTGCATCTGGTATGTATATGAAATTGTTTGTCTGTGTCCTTGTCTTCTCTGGCCGTGTGAGTGCCTTTGCCCTACGAGGAGGCTTCACGTCTGAATCGGTTGCCACCATGGCAAATGGATGCAAGCGAAATGAAAGGCGCCAATCCAAACAAGCCCACTCCCAGATCCCCCTACACAAGGCATGGGCCCAGCGTAGCTCAAGATGGCCTGCGCCACCACAGTGTGGCCTTGGCTCCAGTTTGGATGCAAAGCCTCAATGCGGAAAAGCCTGTGATTCACCCATGCACACACACACACACTCACACAAGTGCCTTCATGTCTCTGCCCGGTGATAAATCACACGGGTGCGTCGGCATCAAGTATCATGAATCATGACGGACATACTTGATGCGTAGATGATTCACCGATTGCTCATCTCCAGAAACATGGATGACGACAGAAAGCATGCCCATTGAGGGGCTGACCATGACTGAACATCCCTACCAACCCCAAGCAAAGGCGTCTTTTGTCCAAAGCACTCGGTGACTCCTTTTGAGTCTCCTGGGGCGTCGGCCTCCTGCGGCTGCGAAGTGCAGCGCAGTGTTGCCAGCACTGGCCTCCACACACAGCGCCTCACGCAGCGGCGGTAAGTGGAAAACGCTGAAACAGGATAAGGAGGCTCCAAACCGAATGATTTGCCCCAGCAGAAAACAACTCACAACTACTTCTGAAGGTGATTGGCATGCTTCCCTCAGCCTGAAGACATTAAGCTTCTGTAACGCCTTCAAGTTCTTGAAGGGTTGATTGTATTGCCGCATTGCCTATACGCCTTAAATTAAAACATGATTTCAAAAAAAAACTAAATTGTAAGAAAACATACATTAAGATAAATTTATTTCAATCAACAAATTATACACCACATTCTATCCAATCGAAGTGGTTGATACTTCAATTAAAGCTAAAAACAAAACTTAGTTGAAGTGTCCATTCAACATATAACAAACAAAAATTGTCATAATAACCCATTCAAAACTATAACTTGCACATATCTATCGCAAAAATCATACTCAATAACTATATTAATATACATCAAACCAAAACATGAACAATAAAACAATGTTTATGTGTTTATTTAAAATATATGTTTTGTTAATATTCAAAATATGTCTAATATTCAATATATACATATGTTGTTCTGAAATTATATACAGTAAACAACATACTCTAACATTATACTTAACAACTATTTGAGTTTATATAATACTTTAAACATCGTTAAACAAATCTCATTCTTCAACCAACTATACTTTCTATTTTTTGTTCGTTCGTACACTCTTTTATTATATTTTGTCAGTTCCAAACAAAAACACTGGGCAAAACAGCAACCGCCGTACGCAGCAAATGAAACTGTACGGTGCCTACTGATGGTCAAATCGTGGGCTAACCATAAATTAAAGCATCAGTGCCCGCCTTCAAGACATCAAAGGCAATCCCATCGTTGTTTGCCAGGGCTACCAACGGGTACCTGGATATATAAATACCGCTGATATACTGATGGGATGCCCAGCTGCACTAAAGAGGCTCTTCCTATGGTAAACGTTCGGAATCTTCATCCAGGCTCCTATCCATACTATCCATATGATATAAATATGGGTCTGTCCCGAAAGCAAGGTGCTCGAAACTGAAGTTTGGCAAAGGGTATGTTTGTTTAGAATCGTATAGCCCATATAATGCCCAGGTTCGAAGGCGGACAAGAACATGCACGACTCACGGACATTGTCAAGTCCTTTTAAGGGTTCCGCTTCCTGCGCAGGGTCTCTGGGCTCCAGGCTGCCGGATTGGGTGCGAAGTCGAGGAAGCACTTCACGACTTCCTTGTGATGAGAGCGAGTCGCTTACGATCTTTGCATCAACTTGCCTCCCACCAACGAACGTGGCACCTGACTGATGGGTTCCATGCTAGTAGAGGATACTCAGAGTGTTCAATGTTTAAGTTGGACCACTTGCTACGCTGGCTGAACCCCCCTGTGACTTTGGCGGGGTACCTTGCATCCATCCTATTTTGTTCGATTGCCTCCATAGCTTGAGAAGTGCCGGGTGTTTTGTGTGGGACAACACTCAACAAATGCAAAGCCACACCTCAAAGTTTGGCTGGACTCCGGGTGTCACAATTGCTGCTCCCCTTTCACTCCAGCGTCAATTCGAAAAATCCGAAACACAAGAGCCGTGATTTAGGCTGTAGACAACCTTGTGTCTTTGCGGCAGTGGCAATTATCGCGTGAACATTCTTTGCTCACAAGGCATGACTCAATGCAATGCAGGAGGTGGCTCTCTTTTTGTGTGTTTGTGTGTGTGCGTGTGTGCGCATTCACTGTTTGTAGGGATGAGTCCCTGCCACTAACAAGTGTATACTAAGAAGCTGCAAGCATTGGTTGTTTAACAAGCAAAAACACATTGATTTCTGCTTCCAGTTGATGTGAGGGTCGGCCACTGGACACACCACCAGCCAGTTTGACTAAATTTCATGTCACACGCACATGCGCACACACACATCTACCAGCTATTCACCTTTATATTCATGTCACTGTTCCTCTATCAACTCGCAAGAAATGGTACCAAATTCAACACAAGGCACAACTTTGCAATCGTGACACCTGTTCTTGTAGCTGCCCTTTTCGGGCTTGTCTCAAAGGGAAACCAAGAGGCAGCCCTCCCCCCCCCCCCCCGGGTTGAAAAGGGCAAAAGCCGATTTCAAGCAAACTTCCTGGTCGATGACTCCCCGTGCCCTCAGATCTGCCCTCAGTCGCTGCGGGCATCGCTTTGAGCTTCCACGCCACGTGCCCGTGCTTCGCCGCCAGGTGCAGCGGCCTGCGTTTGATCCGTTTACAATGGACTCATTGGATCCGGAAATCTAAACAGGGTCCTCATGTGGCCACGGCCGAAAGACGGATTGGGCCGCGGCTCAAGACCTCTGTTCAGGCTGTCTGGATCGAGCACTGTTCGGGCTTTGGGGCATTCAGAAGCCTGGCAGCCGCTCTGGCCCGCTCTTCAACCTCTCCCCCCGTGTGTTGTGCAGCTTCAGAAGGACTGGAACGTGTTGTCTAGAACAGGTGGGCCATCAATCAAGTCTGATCCGCAAAGCTGGCTCTCCCCCTTATGCCAAACAACAAATGCATGTAAAGACATCGTTGTTTACCTCTCTCTTCCTTTCTCTATTTCTTTCATTATGTTGTTTTTGTATATATGTATACATATATATATATGTATACATATATATATATATATATACGTGTTTTTCTCTTTAAACATTATTTCGATTGGTTATCGATAGTTTCCTTTTTTATGATGTATTCATATATATATATATAATCTAGTTGTTTGTGTTATGTATTCCTTTCGTTCTGTAGATATATGTCGTTCTTTCCTCTTTTATGTTGCTTTCGTTATTTCTGCTTTTCTTTCGTTCCTTCCCTACTTAGTTCTTTATTTTGTTGTGTATCTTGTTCTTTTGTTACTTTGTCTTTACGTTGTTCTTTCTTTGTGACAGGCGCTTTATTTGTGTATTTATGTCTTCTGTTCTGTCTTTCTTTTTTGTCTTGCTTTCGTTTCTTCTTTCCCACGATGGAACAAGGGTCTGGATGGGAGGGTCTGGAATGCAGCAGGTGATCCGGACGTCGGTCTGGAACACATGGGCCCCGGGCTCCTCCGGACGGATTCTTTATTGACCACTGCCATAATGTGTTTTTGACACTGCTGGTCTCATTCACGAACGACAGACTCGGGTCTGCCATGTCTGCCAACAAACCAAGCAACCGCGCAATGAGAGTCCATGCCTCATTATTACACGGTCTCAGCTCATCTGCAGGTGGAATGCTTCTTAGGGTGCTGTGTGGGACGACCACAATTCATGCCATAGGAACTGAGGATTCTCACACGTAGCAACCGAACTGACCACCTGCAGGCAAACCACAAACAATTCGGCACATGCAAGATTGTACTCCGGCAACAAACAGGCCATGCATTGGAATGGGATAGGCATCACCTGACCTCAAATAACCGTCAAGCAAGTCGGAGCAGGGAATTTGCAGGATCCGGCAACCAATCACCCAAAGCAACGACTCTCGTGTGACCTAAGAGCCCAGCCGTAAGGCGCTGCTATTCTTCATGGGCATCTGCAACCTTGGGGGAGCACATGCTCTGCAGCGAACACCGACAAAGTAATACAATTGCGAAACAATCACCGCCATCGTGCTTGTTCACTGCAATAACTGAAAGCTTGTGGACATCTGTCCCACGCATTGATTTTTTTGCCTCATCGATTGAAGATAGGCGTCTCCAGCACTGGCTCACTCGGCATCCCGGCAAATGAAAGCCGTCCGGTGCCCGTTGTAGCAATGCACGGGCTGTGGCCTCCCCACATATGACATGGCAACAAACAAGCCAAGGCGAAATTAGCGCATAAGCCCAGTGGATGAAACTAAGGGACTTGCCAAGCTCCGCTTTCCCGCCTGAATCTGACTATCGCAAGAGACTGTCGAGAGTGCATGAAATGGACTGTCACCATGGTTTGGAACGGCAGGCATCTAGATTCCACAAAACGAGCATGACATTTAGCTCTGGGATTGATATCACTGGTTTTCCGATCGAAAAAGCCGCACGGCGCTCCTCGTGGCCATCTCGGGCAGCACAATGCAGCGGTGCCATACCATCGGCGTTGACGGCCAAGCCTTGCAGACCGCCGAACAAAAACACAAATAAACACCTAGATCGGCTCGAGACCAGGCGGATTGGGAAAGGATTGAAGGTCCCCCTAACAGCTTTTAACAACTTTATCAAGCGCGGATCCGCAAGCTTGTCTCGGATCTATCTCTGCGACACATTTACACCTGGGATAGGAATGGTCCTATGGCCATAAAGTTGTCTGAGGCAAGTGGCACAGTTGCATCGGCTCTGGCGCCAGGGCCAGGAGGATTTCTACGACGTCCTCAACAGGATGAACCATGCCACAACCGGGCTCAAAGTGAAATCAGCGGGTTCCACAAGTCAAGCATTGAGAACCCCTGAAAGTGTAGTATAACCACTTCCAGCAACCCAGTACAGCGGGGACCCTACATCAACCACGTTGAGAAACACAGTTGCTGACATGGACAGTTTGCCGTGTACTCTGACTCCTCTCTTTACCTTTGTGTGGAGTACAATTTCATATAGTTCAACCCTGTGAATGAGTCGTGGCATGCATACTCTCTGACCTCGCAAAGCTCGTAGATCAAGGATGCCTTCAAATCCTCGAGCCCCGGTCTTCAAGTCTTTGTCTCCACGAATTTGTGGATCTCAGTTTGGAGCTTCTCTCACCCTTTTGTGAGGTCCGCCCGAGTCTCCTTGTGGCCACTCACAGCTGCCAGGTGAAGGCCAGTGGGGTTATTGCCTCAGAAAATTGCGGGCAACCTGCCCGACCTGTGGCGGGCCCAACCCGGTTGCTGGGACCCGGGATTATTCAACCATGACTTTCAGATGCAGAGGGCCCCTCACAAAAACCATACTGAGGCAAATCGGGGCTACTCAGCGCAATTACAAAGCACTTGAAAGCATGACGACAGCTGTGCGTTAGTGCATAGCTGTCCTTGCAAGTGTTGCCAGGTTTGAGCAATCAAGAACCTCCATGTGAAAAACACAGGAGATTTTGATGCTTCGTGTACATGCCTGAAGCTTCCCTCACTGTGTTCGCTAAATCAGCGCTGTGCCATCCTCGAAAAGCAAGACAAGAACAGGGAAACAACATCAAACACTTGACCAAGGTGTCAAGGCCGTTTTGGCCGCGCTTGCCCGCTGAGTTCATGTCAGGACTGACGACACTGCACTCCGAGGCAGACACCCGACTGCGATTGCATGGCCTCGAAACATGACATGGCTCCCGACAGCCTATCTCCGAGGCTGCGGATCGCAGGGTGTCATGCAAGCCATGGTTAAAATGAACCTTTCGGTTTCGGAAAATGGCGGACCTCCGTTTAGTTGGTACAGAAGAACCACAAGGAAAACAAGAATCAAACATTCAAGATGGCCATGCTTTTGAACCACCCTCTTGGTATTCATGAGATCGTTAGGTGGGCATGCAAACCACGCCCTAGGGACAAAAGGGTCGCAGAATGAGTTCAACCCCGCTTTGGCCTCGTTGGATTGAATCTGAAGTTGGATTCACAGGTGGGGCATCCAAATCATCTCCTAGCAACCTAGGTTGGTTGAACACCCCGCACTAATGCATCGATTGCTTGTGCAATTTCAGGTCATTCTGTTCCATGCAGAGGTTTGTGCTGGGCGTTGGCAAATCGCCAATTTGCCCAAGGAGAAGCTTTGCAACGAAAGCTTTGTCACCGCAGGACCTACACAAGCACCTTGTGCTTGATGCCTAAGTCGAATTAGTCCACCTCCTCGACGGTCGGGCCACTGTTGCCGCCAGGGGCGCCACCCATGCCACCGCCTGGCATGCCACCTTCTGGCATGCCACCGCCGCCGGCAGCCTGGTACACCTTCATCATGATGGGGTTCACAACACCCTCCAACTCCTTCTGCTTGGCCTCAAACTCATCCTTCTCAGCCAACTGGTTCTTGTCCAGCCAGTCCAGGGTCTCTTGCACCGCAGACTCGATCTTCTCCTTGTCGCCACCCTCAAACTTGTCCTTCAGCTTCTCCTCGTTCAAGGTGTTGCGCATGGTGAAGCAGTAATTCTCCAAGCCGTTCTTGGCCTCGATCTTCTGCTTGTTGGCCTGCAGGCAGCAAGTGCAAAGTGTGTGACATTGGGCGGTCAACTCAGTGCAAAAAGGCAACAAACACATAGTGACCGGGTCGCCTACTTTCCCGATGCAAGGCCAGTTTACGCAAACAACATTGAGGCTGATGCAGCGTTGTCCTTTTGCTGTGCCTAAGTAATTAAGTAGAGAACGCATTAGATTGAACAAAGCGCACAAACAAGCAAGCAAGCAAGCAAACAAACAAGCAAGCAAGCAAACAACCAGCCAGCCAAACAAACAAACAAGCAAAATACAGACCGTCACGCATGGGCAAGATTGCACTTGCGGGCGCACAAGCCCAAATAGCTCGGTCTGTAGCCCAAACATGGCCTCATCCTCGGCACGGAACTTCTCTGCCTCTTGCACCATGCGATCGATCTCCGACTGCGACAGCCGGCCCTTCTCGTTGGTGATGGTGATCTGGTTGGACTTTCCAGTGGACTTGTCGGAGGCGCTCACGTTCAAGATTCCGTTGGCATCGATGTCATAGGTCACCTCAATCTGTGGCACACCCCGGGGAGCCGGAGGAATGCCATCCAGGTGGAACTTGCCCAGCAAATTGTTGTCCTTGGTCATGGCGCGCTCACCCTCGAAGACCTGGATCAACACACCCGGCTGGTTGTCCGCGTAGGTCGTGAAGGTCTGCGCTTTCTTGGTCGGGATGGTTGTGTTGCGCTCAATCAACTTGGTCATCACACCACCTGCGGTCTCCAAGCCCATGGAGAGCGGCGTCACATCCAAAAGCAGGAGATCCTGCACTTGGGATGAGCCCTCGCCAGTCAGGATAGCAGCCTGCACCGCCGCACCATATGCCACAGCCTCATCTGGGTTGATGGACCTGTTCGGCTCCTTGCCGTTGAAGAACTCCTGGATCATGGACTGCACCTTAGGGATGCGCGTGGAGCCACCCACCAGCACCACGTCGTGCACGCTCTTCTTGTCGATGCCCGAGTCCTTGAGGCACTTCTCCACAGGGCCCATGGAGTTGCGGAAGTAGTCCATGCACAGCTCCTCAAAGCGTGCCCGAGACAAGGAGCAGCTGTAGTCAATGCCCTCAAAGAGGGAGTCAATCTCAATGGTGGCCTGCGTGGATGAGGACAGGGTCCTCTTGGCACGCTCACACTGCGTGCGCAGTCGGCGGATGGCTCGCTGGTTGCCCGCCAAGTCCTTTCCACGGTTCTTGCGCTTGAAGTCCTGCATGCAGAAGTCCACCACTCGATTGTCAAAATCCTCACCTCCCAAGTGAGTGTCTCCTGCAGTGGCCTTGACCTCAAAGATGCCATCCTCAATGGTCAGCAGCGACACATCGAAGGTGCCGCCACCCATGTCGTAGATGAGCACGTTCCTCTCACCGCTGCCCTTCTTGTCCAGGCCATATGCAATGGCCGCGGCAGTTGGCTCGTTGATGATGCGCAGCACGTTCATCCCAGAAATTGTTCCCGCATCCTTGGTGGCTTGGCGCTGAGAGTCGTTGAAGTAGGCCGGCACTGTGACGACCGCATCATTCACCTTGGTGCCCAAGTAGGCCTCGGCTGTCTCCTTCATCTTCAGCAGAATCATGGAGGAGATTTCCTCCGGATGATACCTGAGTTGACTTCAGTCTACAGCTTGGGCTTCAATCAAACAATCTACTTGGGCCAGCCATCGATATCATCAACGAACTAGCCCCGATAATGCAAGTTCCGACGGTCCTGAAAGACAACATATCCGTTCTTCATGTCAAGAAGCTTCTTCTCCTCGCCTTCCACCTTCACCACAATGATCGGCTTGTCGCCCTGACCTGCAACGCACTTGAATGGCCACAACTTGATGTCTGCCTGCACAATGGGGTCGGCAAACTTGCGGCCAATCAATCTCTTGGCATCGAAAACCGTGTTCTCTGGATTCCGGGCGACCTGATTTTTGGCTGCGTCCCCGATCAAACGCTCAGTATCGGTGAAGGCAACGTAGGATGGAGTGGTTCGGTTGCCCTGGTCATTCGCAATGATTTCCACTCCGTCATTCTTCCAAACACCCACGCAAGAATAGGTCGTGCCGAGGTCAATCCCAATGGCGGTCTTCTTGGCCATGATGAATTGCTAAAATGCTCTATATAATGACAATGATGGATTTGCCTGAGCCACATATATCGACGTGGTGTGATGCTTCTAGCCCACAACACCGGGAATGAGTACCAATAATAAATGCAGCAACGATGTGTTGGCAAGCATGCAGGACCCATAGGTTTCGCTCGTTTTCGCCTGGGATGGGTGGAATTGCTCACCATCAAATGGGGTGGATCCTGTCAGTTGGCTCAAAATAGTGATTTTTCTAGCGTGTTTGGGGTCTTCTTGGTGTCCCTTTGACTAGGTACTTACGAGCGGCATAGACGGCTGTGGTTCGGCCACATTGCGTCTCCCAGAGAACTAAACAATGATTTCTGTTAGAATGGTCAAGAAATTCAAGAAACAAGCTTGAGCAAATTGCCTTCCCGAACTCAAAGCTACCAGAGTCCTGAAGCTGCGCTATTGAAGGCTCCCCGTGAATCTCGTGAAGCGTGAGGTGAGCGAGCGGTGCGCGACGAGCGCTTGGGGCCCCAGCCATCAAATGCTGCCGGCCACCGGCTGCCTAGGCCAACTGCAAAGCAGATTGAAGATGCGTGAAGCGTGCCATGTTTGTTCAGTTGGGTACTAAAAGCAAGTGGGCTAAACCAGCACACCAGCTGAGTAGACCGAGCCAGCCAAACCAACGAAATAAACCAAGCCCAAGTTAGCCAAAGCAACCGCAGGACACTCCCCGTGTTTTCATCCTCTCCCAACATGTCCGCTTCGTAGGCTCGGGCACCGGCTACTCCCAGCAAACATTTGATGGCCAGAGCATTGCCTGCCTGCAGTTCAAAAATAGCGAGTCAAATCGATTTCAAGGGTCGGCTTCTGACAAAAGGTTGGTATGGTCGGCTGTTCTTGCGGAAAGTTGCTTGGTTGGCTGCTGGCTTGGCTTGGCTTCGTTGGCTGGCTTATTAGTTTCCTTACGCATGGTTGCCGACTTTACCGTGCCTCAGTTTCGCACCAGGGTTGATTTTGAGTGTTCCCAACTCGTAATTGATGATTCCAGATTCTGTGCTGCTCTAATGGCGGTTAAGCCCCCAAAAGGGAAGAACCAACCCGAACAAAGGCTCACAAGAAGGCTCACAAGGCCTAACAAGTCTAACAGGGTTCTGTTTGGGCCTTTCATGCCTTTCTCTAATCTTTGGCGGGGTCATAGCAACGAGTGGAGCTGCGACGATCATGCCTCCCTTTGCTGAGAAAACATGCAGAAACATGGACACAAAGCAAGTTGCCAGCTGACCTCTTGGACAAGTCCACAGCGCATCGCGCAGCCACAGCGACCATGAAACATTGCCAGTCAGTCGCTTGATCACTGCTGGAAATCCCGGTGTTCATGAGTTGGCCGCCATTCTCAGGAGGGCTCCTTATTGCCCGCATTTTTGCCAGGTCTTGCCCTCCAAGCTGAGGAGCTTGGAACATGCTTGCCTGCCGTTTTGCCACATTCCAAGGCAGTTGCTGACCGACCCAGAACCCAGATACTCTATAACAAGAACGGCCCTACCCCCAGACAAGACGAGTTCCGCGATGTTCTGGCCTTTGCCAGGCGACAAACAAGGCACTAGTGCTCCGACTGACAAAATGACAATTCAATCGCAGTAAGCTGAGAAGTCAGTCGTCCCAAAGCGCAAGCCTTGCACATGGTTTGCAGAAGGAAGGCCAGCCTCAGGGGCTCAGTCGTGGCAACTGCGCAGCTGACTTGCCTCGATTTCTACCTGATTGCTCCCACCAGACTAATATTGTACCTCTTTGTTACTCATGTTGCATTCAATGTTTAGAAAGGAATGACGGTTGTCGAACAACAGCCCATGCCGACAAAGCCCATGTGCTGGAACGCATCGGCTGATCCTGCCCTGCATCCTCGCGTCAAGAGCTAGTGCACCCAGCCCACCCATGGCCTCCCCCTGCCCAACCAACTTGAAGGATTCCCATCAAAGCTCTGATTTCTCGAATGTGGTTTGCCTGTGTTCAATACTCAATACATTTCATATGTCTATCGTCGCTGCTACAGGAGTTTGGAATGTGCCGTTAGGGAAGGTTAAAGATACAGAGGGATGAACAAACACCAGCTCTCTGTCATCACATTCAGTCCGGATTGCCACAAACTACAAGTCCACAAAGACCTCTGTGGGCCTGAGGGAGCACCCGCGTGTCCAACAGCCCTACATATACTGTATCACTCACAGACGAAGGCCATGTTACAGAAAGAACCGAAGGCCGGCAGAATACAAGGCGCCTTCACAGCCCCACCCTTCCCCCATTTTGTAGCCTCCCCACTGGTAAGCAAATTGGACCACTGCAAATGGGTCTCAGCCCGGGTCTCCACGCCCCTCACGGAGCTCCAGCAGCAGCTCCTTCTTCAGAGGCTCCTTGCCCTCTGCCTGCGGACAGCGAGGGCAAAATTTTAAGGGCTGTGCAACATGGGTGGATTGATGAAGAGGCCCTGCCCACAACAATCCCTTCTCTCGGCGTGCTGTTGGGAGAAACTTTTTGCGATGAACTGCGACATTGAGAAGGGATACTAGCCCATGGCTCTAGCGCCCAAGCATTCACGCTCATGAATGCCAATGGGTGCCCCTTTGCTTGCTTGAGCTCCAAGAACAGTATTCACACTTTACAAGGGTCTTGGGCACTCCCTGAGATGTAGACTAGCAAGTGCGGCGTCCCCAAGCCAAAAACAGGGGTTTGGAAAAGAACAGGTTTTGCGCATGGAGCCGGTCACAGTTACACCGAACACATCACACCGCAGTGCATTGATGCGTCCAGCCTGCAGACAAAAAAACTTGGCGCAGCTGGTCACAGCCTCTGACACGCTGCCAGCAGCATTCTCCTGCAAGCGGACGCGTTCCCAAATTTAAGCATCCCTCCGGCCTTATTCCAACCGCAAGCTGCATGTCAGGTCCAAACTACCATAACTAGGCTTTTCCAAGCAGCAGAACACCACTCATTCATCAAAGCCTCAGGGAAGCATCCGCGTGTATTGATGCAACGATGCCCACTTACAAGTTGTTGTGACCTTCAGATTCTCACAGGCACGGGGCTGAAGCCAAGACGCTTGGAATTGCCTTGCAATGCTTTGTGATGTTCAAGGAGCATCCTTTTCTTTTCTGAAAACTGGCCGCAGGAAACGAAGCCAAGGCTTCTGTGAGGGAACCAACAGTGGCATCCGCATACCCTGAAAGCATGGCGTTGTCCTCTCGAAAGGGATATCTGGGGATTCCTATAATGTTTCTCTGGGGGAGGGAACACTTGAAAGCAACATTTGAAACGATTCCACATCTCACGTGGATACACCTCTGTCGTTCGAGGGGAAGGTGCTGGCGAAAAGGGCAGTGCTCACTGCCTGTGATGGCCTTCGCCGATCTACATCTCACTAAGTCCAACTGGGAGCTCGACATCTAATCACAAATTCCGTGCTCAAAGCTGGTCCCGCCCCTTTCAGGGATCAGGAAACATACGAAGTACTACTTGCAACAACCAAAGAAAGATCCGTTTCCAAGCACGCCGGGCATTCTGCTCACTCAGCGGAAGGCCACCGCGTGGCAGTCCCCCAGCACCACTCGCCCAAAGCTCTGCAGCTGGGGCGCGCGGGTGGGTGCCAGGCGGTTCTGCCGGTCCTTGAACCCCAGCTGGCCCTCCTGAAACAAATGCGGATTTTGGTGCATGGCAACCAGCCACGGTTGAACAGGCATGGCCGCCCAGCCGTCTTCTGTGTGGGGGGAACAGGAGACAGGCCCGACCCTTCTTGGTTCGGGGCGCTTGGCGGGATATCGACTACAACCAAAGAGGGAAAAAGAGCTGCCGCTGAATCACTGGAGCGTGAGATGTCAGATCTGCTGTTGACCTGGACATGGCCGAACCTGTACTGCTTAATCTGGAGGCAGGCACAAAAATTGTTTCTTCTTCAAACATTGCAGTCAAAGAGGGCCCAACTTGAGATATGCGTATTCTTTTTCGCACCGATCCCCTTATCGGAGGAACCCTGGCGAAACAATTCGGCTCCTCATTCTTGCCCCAGACCCACCAATCCTCTGCTGTCTTGGCTGCGGAGAAGTCGCCACCCAAAGCTAAGTGCTCCACCTGACCACCGTGATCATTGCGCGAAAACGACTGAAAGCAAATAAACCAAACACAGAAAGTATTGATATGCTCATAAAGGAGTAAACTCATCAACCAAGATTTCTCCGATTTACGCCCACCCACCCCCCACCTACCCTCCCACCCACCCCCCACCTACCCTCCCACCCACCCCCCACCTACCCTCCCACCCACCCACGTCTCTAAATTTGAACCTCTCGCCAAGCGCAATCACATGCCGTCAGACCTCTCGCCTGGTCCAGATCCAAGGGCCGGGGCTTCAGCACGTTGGCTTCGCCGCCGAATCCCAGGCGCCCCAGGCTGCCGCGGCCCCAGAGAAAAACTTGCCGCCTGGCAGCGACGGGGCTGGGTGGTTCTGGGTGACTGGATCCTTGTTTCCAACCCAAGCCTTTTGAATACCCTAACTCCGTGCTTGCCATAGGTGGGCGTGCTCAAAAGGCTTGGGGTAGAGCCAACTTCTTGCCTGGACATGTTTCGAACAAGGTCCTGCTGGATTCCCTGAGGGCACCCTGGATGGGTGCATGGCCTGGTGGATCCAACAGCCTAGGGTCCGATCCAAGTTTGACAACGCTTGCTGAATCTAAGAAGCCCTCTTCAAGAGACATCCGAACAAATGCTGGGGTCTCCCGGTCTTACCAGCTGGAAACTGTGGGTCCCGGGGTGCTTGCAGCCGAATTCCCCGACGCCTTGGCCCGCAAATGGCCCCACAATGCACGGCGCCGGAGGCTATGCAGTGCACCGGCTCTGGCAGGTCGATCCTGCCGGGAAGGTACTGGATCCCAAATATATAGAACACATGTAGAGCATCTTAGAATCTTTGTAGACTTGGGACCCGGAGATAAATATGCGTAGAACAAGTGTTGAGGTAAAACTTGTAATTGGAGCACAACCCTTCGTGATGCTGATCTGGACGATCCGCAAGAGATCATCACTTTGAAGGGACTTCTTCACGGAAAGTTGCCCCAACAAGCCCTATTTTCCACAACCATGGCCCCGAATGGGTTACATGTTGGGAATGAAGCATCATGAATTGTCCACCAGGGGTCTTCTGCAGCTCTACTGTGGTCTACTAGGGGCCTCTCTCTCCTTCTATCTATCTACCTGCCTACCCATCTATCTGATACTATGTACCTGTCTATCTGTCTTTTTGTTGTCCTCTTCTGTACACTGTACAGCGCGTCCAGCGAGGGTCGGCTTGCCGTTATGTTTTCTCACGCTCCAAATTTGAACCGGTATTCCACACACACTCACCCCGTAGCCGCGTTGGCTGCGCAGCCAGAAAAGGGTGCGTGGAAAAAAAACTCCTCAAGCGCGCGCATAGCCTACAGTCTCTTTCAGAGTCTCTGTGGCTACATCCCTACTGTCTAATGACCAACCGCACAAACTTGTCATTGTTGAACAAATTGATGATTTTTGATGGGCTCTCGCCCCCCTGCGCGATCCACTTTTCCCAAAAGGAGGTGCGGAGCAGCTGCAGAAACAGGCGCTTGCCCAAGGCCATGTGAGCCCCTCGAGGATATCTGCCATCTGGAACTGTCGAGTGCAACTCCTCGATAGATTGCCGGTCCTCCCCAGCCAACATGTCTTTCTCTTCAAAGAGCGTCGTGAATCTGAAACGATGCGCCTCAGCAGTGTCGGCGAACACATCTGCCAGTTTCAGGAAGCGGATCTCAGCTTTGGAATCTACCTCTTTCATCTCAGCCTCCTCACTTGTATTGTTCGAGCCATGGACGGAACGACCTGCATCTCCAAAGCTCATGCTGACAGTAGAGAAACAACCACATTCTTTCCAAACAGCTTGGAACGCCGAGTACCATCTGTTCTTCGGCAGCACTTTCGCTCTCTCAATGGCAACGTCCGCTTCAATGGGTGCTTCGTTCCTGTCATTTCCACGGCCTTCCGTAAAGCCAGATGCTCCACTTGACCATTCTTCCGGATTCGTGTACTTCACATCCAGAGTGTTATCAGCATTCACATGGACCACTTCAGCATCATACCATTGATTCCTGCGCAATCCCAAATGGCAACCACCAGAGAAGGTGTTGAAGCGCAAATCCTGTTGAGAAGCTCTTTCCAGGTATTCCGCATCAAGCTGAGGTGAAACAGCTCCCTGTGGTACGGCCCAATCTCCGCAGCGACAGGAACTCCAAATGAAGGTATCCCCTCCTCGCAGAACTCGAACTCTGTCGCCAGCTTGGAGGTGCTTGCGCCCCTCTTCGTGGTCCACTTCCAAGGTGCTAAACAAGACCTTGTCACATGACTTGGATGCACGCAAGAAAGGTCCAAAGCGTTTTTCAAAATCCTCACTATTGTTGCTTTGAACGCGGGGGATGTTGACCGCGAGCTGTCTTGGCTTCGCACCTTGTCCAATGTCCTCTTGTCCCAAGGGCAAGCGGGTTCGTAAGATCTCCCGGCTGCGTGGATCTTGGGCAAAGGTCACCAAAGATAGCAGTGAGTTGGCCACAAAGCCACGATACACTCTGGCCCTGGCCTGAGAATCAATGGTGCCTTGCATTTCACAACTTCCAACGAGCAAAAACCGGCCATCCCGCAGGAGAAAAATGCCTTGGAGTTGGCGCGCCCAGAAGCTGCAATTGAACCAAGCTGCGTTCAGAGACAAAATCGCCAAGACATCATCCGGTAGCTTGGGTGCCGCAAGACTCCCACGATACCCGGGCACTGCCTCTAATTCGAACGATTCCACTGGCACTTCCCTGGCTTGGGGCTGGTAGCCATCTGCATGAGGAGCTGAGCCAAATTGAGCATCCGACTGTTCGACTCGTGGCCAGTCAAAAAGCTCTCCTTGAAGACAGTCCCACCACAAGCAGTCCAAGTCGAAAGGCTCAATGGAACATCGGTAATCTTGACTGTCCACATCCACTGGAACGGGATCCTGGCCTTGAGGTGATGCTGTCAATGAGCAGCTGGGCTCAACATAGATGAGATGCTGGTGGTAGTCGACATAGGCGACTTGCAGTGCAGAGCCTCTTAGGCACAAGTGCCAATCACGCAGCAATTGTCGGTTAAACTCCTGGTCCAACTCGTTTCTATGTAGCCATGCATCTGGCCGGATTTGACTCAAATAGAGCCTTGCATCAAGACATGCTTGGGATTTCTGAAAGGCCTGAGAGACCTTAGCTGCACCAAAGGCCTCATTTGCAGGCAAATAGCTGAGGACCTGCTGCAGTCGCTGGGGATTTGTCACTAGCTTAGCCATGTGTGAAAGAAATTGGGCACTGAGCCAAAGTCTTGGGCCAATCGAGTTGTGAAGCGAATGTGGGGCCTGCACGCGACGATGCGAGATGCTCAAAGGGTCAAGTTGGACAAGCCCGCATCCACCTCTCCCCCTCCCCCACCCTCAGCCTCCCGCCCCGCAAAGAACGCGCCTCACCGGGCTGTGGTGGTCGTTGAAGTCCCCCTGGCCCAGCACGCCGAAGCGGCCCCAGCCGAAGGCCCAGACTACACTCCCCAGCACCAGCGAGTGCCAGCGACCCAGCGCCACCTGATGAGAAACCTCCACTTGCTGTCCGAGGAACAAATAGAAATCTGTCCAGAACTGAGTCCCTTTCGAAAAAGGAAATAAACTTGTTTCTTAAGCAAATGATGACTACTGGGTGTGTAGTTGCTTGCCACCCATTCCCAAGATTGCATGAAATCCCTTTACAATTTGTCTCAAAATTAGAACACAACCACGGCTGTAAAATTGTTGATCCTTTCTGTGACACCAAACTTGGCCGTCCCCACGACTACTTTGTCACTTTTCAGGGGATTTACTTGGTATCACGCAAACCCCGGAAACCAGATTTTCTGCAACCAAGCCTGGCGCACCGGCCCCAGCTCCAAAAGCTGCGGCTCTGGCTGTGCGGACTGACGCCTTCCAACGCCCAGCTGGCCCTGGTTGTTGGCACCCCAGAGGTACACCTGGTCGCCTGACGGCGTTGGAAGCCTCACAACTTCCAAGTGGATCATGGTACCTCGCCTTCCGCATTCATTGAACTCAGAAGGAATGAGACGGTTACACCTTGCATGTACTGGAAGTCCCAGTCTAAAAATATCGCTATTCCTTGGACTTGCCTTGTTGCTTGTCATGAAGATATGCTGGGGTTTGGACCATAACCATGAGCTAAGGCCACAAATAGCCATAAACCATGATCCCCAATTCAATCTCCTTTGGGTGTCTTCCAATCTCCTATGGACCTTTTCAGGTTGCTTCTTATGATCCTTTGAGGCCGAAAGCTCCGAGGCGCCGCACACCGCCGCGCTGTGTCTGAACCCGGCGCTCACGGCCTGGGCTTGGCCCACACGGACGGGCCGCAGCTGGGGCGACATCTTGGGCCCGGCGCCGATGCCGAGCTGACCCGAGGAGTGGTCCCCGCAGGCGAAGACCTTGGCAAAAGACGGTGTGGATGTCGGGAGCATGACAGTTGGTTAATTACCCCCAAAAATGAATGACATTCATGGAAGTCCAGGAACTATGATAAAGCCAGATTGACTCTGCATGTTACGGTTGGAAACTTGTAAATCTGTATTTTAGCCATCTGCTCTCGGCCCACCTCTCCATTCTCCAGAAGCACCAGCGTGTGGTCCCCGCCACAAGCGACGTTGCGTACGGTCGAGCTGCTCGGCAAAGCGACCGGCGCCGGCTCCAGCACATCCTCAGACCAATCTGGCGGATCCTTCTCGCCACGCTGCCCGCCGCTGGGGCGCCCGCACTGGCCACGGTTGTTTCTGCCGCAAAGGAGAAGTTGGCCGCCGGAGACCAGGCCCGTGTGGTCAAAGCCGCACGACACGGCTGACACCTCGCACCTCAGCAGCGCTGGCTCCGACGACACCTGGCCCCTTCCAAGCTGGCCGTAGTCTGCTTTGCCCATGGCGAGGGCCCCTTCTGGAGGTGTCTCACATGTCCGAGCTGGGGGATCGAACGCCTCCGGCGTCACCTTTGCCTTGGGGCGCCAGCGGCCCCGTGCCCTCGCCGTCTCAGCAACCTGTGTCGCCTTCTCTGTCTGTTCCTTCGACAGGGCAAGGAACCTGGCGGCGACCTCCTCCGTCTTGGCGTCGCGGTCTTGGACGCTGATCTCCACCAACTCCACCCCCGGGATGCGCTTACTCTGTGCAATGAAGCCACCCCCAGCGACCGCCACGGTCCCCAGCACGTGCAGCTTGGGATTGCTGCTCTCTAGCAAGCGACGGATCCTGGAGACGAAGGCACTGCTGAACAGCTCCATTTTGCCGATCTCATCAAAAATCAAGACTGTATCTTGGCTGCTTTGGCCAGACTCACTGAGTACACGATCAAGGATTGGCACTGTGAAGCGCTCGAACTCCTCTACCTGCACGTGGTACTTGCCTCGGACCGTCTGCGGGCCAGCCCAAGTGTCCAAAACAAGGTAGGCGTTGCACATTGCTTGACACGATAAGTACTAAGTACCACTTGTCGTACCATGAGCATGTGCAACTCGCCCGGATGTATGGTCGTCGTACAGTGGATGTAAACATGTTCCAACCGAAGCTTAATTACCCCACAACATCTCACAACCAGAAAACCAACGCCTCGCAAACATCTGACCCAAACAAAAGGGAACACACCACAACATATCAACGAAACCTGAACAATCAACACTTCAAGCCTCACGCCTATCCTAAAAAGACAAACACAAACTCCTTAAGTATGTTAAAACAAGTACCAACACCTGACCAACATGAAAATAAAGCAAACGCCGACAGCCAATCCAACAACACGCCGTCTTTTTGGCTTCCGTCTGGGCGCCCACCATGTGCCCGGTGCTGGGCCCCTCCACCGACGCCAGCGGCACCCGTCGGGTCCCCTCCAAAGCGCAGCAGTCGAAGCCAACGCGCCGGCCCTGCAGGCGGCGCTCCTCCATGAGGAAGCCCTCCAGACCTGAGACATTTTTCAGAACCGTGGAAAACAGTTTGGACTTGGGGGGATCTGTTCTGAGAAACTTGGAATTGGCCAAGCATGGACGACAGACATAGGCAGACTAGAAATTGGTATAGTTGTTTGAGGGTACCCTTGTTTGGGACTTCGAAGGAGGGACACCAAAGGAAAAAAACTATTTGTGGGGTTCCTCAACTTTGAGACCTGGCCAAACATGGACACCACAATGCAAAACCTGGAAAACACGGATGCCCGGTTTCTTCCTTTTTGGGGATCATCCCAAAGTGGAGCAAAACCTGAAAAAGAGCTCTGTCGGGCTGAAGAGAGAAATATTATATTATGCGTTTGAATGATCCCCACAAGTGAGGAATCCTTGTTGGATAACGACAAGAGAGAGCGAAGAGAAACATGCAACAACACAATGGTCAGACGGTCAAAAGGCTGAAGGGTTTTATGTAGGTGGAAGGATGAAAAGGCACGCTTCTCAAATGACCATTGGGCAATTGGGCTTGTGCAAGCACTAGGGACCCTTCCTCCCTTTTGGAGTGAAGGAGCCACTGGAGGGTAAATCCTGCAAACAGGCAACCAGACTGGTAGGATACAACCACATCCTAGCTCGGCCATGGCTGTGCAGCCCGAGTAGCGCTCGGAGCGGCCTGCCAAACGCTTGTAGACCTGCAACTGAAACGACGGAAGGTCAGCAAACAGGAAGGAAACTGACGACACCATACACGAGGCTCTGAATCCAGGGAGCGTTCCAGCACAGCGTGGTCTTGCCCGTCCCCGGCGGCCCAGTCACCAGCAACCGCAAAGGCGCCATCGAGCGACAGGTGACAAGAAATGAACCCCGTGGATTCCCAAGCGTTTCAAGTAAGCGCCGTCAAAGGCTTTGGCAAGCTCTACTCGACATGTGCTTCCCACGTCTAAGGCCAAACGTACATTGCAAAGTCCCCCCCACTTTCCATCTCAGACTGTGGATACAGGTATCCGATAAGCTCATTGCAGTTGCTGGCCGAGATGTATAATGGAATGCTGCGTGCTCTCACTAGAAGCACCACTTGTTCTGGCTGCAAAACACAAAACATACGCACTGTGTTTTGAAACATTGTGCTGGTGACACAAGATCAGAATCTGCAACTGCCTGTTGCTGTCTGGTCGACCGCATCCTGACTGCCCGTTTGAGTATGCACAGCTGCATCCCAGTATTTTGACAGCTCTGCAGGAAGGCACAGGGGTTCACCAGCTGTCTTGTCAACTCGTGCACAAACGCTGCCTGCACTTGCCTTAACAAGTGCAAAGGCACATTGATGGTTGCTGCTTGGACAATATCAATTCAAACAAGTCGGACAGCTATCAAAGCAGGCTGCAATACAAGACTTGATAATCGAGGTCTACCACGGAAGCTACCTAGAACACACGAGGGATGGTAACGGCACCTAGAGGGTTGGGGTTCGGACCCCCGACTGCACATAGGAGGGGTTCCATACAATAGATCTCAACTGCACGGGACCCGCTAAGGTGGGGTTCTCAAGATAGGGATCCCCTAGAATGATTAGTCGGTTTCGCTTTAAATACCACCGAGACGTTCCACCATTCAGAAACTCCTGCGTCTCTGCACTTGCCGCGACCATCGATCACCCACAGGCTCCTGGATGAGCCACGGAGGCAACCCCCGGCCCTCTAGCAGGTGCTGCCACGCGCACTTCGCCGCCAGGTAGTCCTGCCTCAGACGCGAAGTGAGACGGGGAGCAAGTGCAGTGTGTTCCTTTGGAAGAATGGGTGCGTTTACCACTGTGGAAAATCCCGAGCCGCGGCTTGCAATAATTGGGCAATCCACCCATGTGCCTGTGAGAAAGTCAATAGTTGGGCTCATGGCATCATCCAGCTACTTGTCCCCAGCCCAATCTGGACTAAGCTACATTTGAGTTTGCATGAAAAAGGGCAAAGTCGGAATTGATGCAATCTCACTTGCATGCAATGTGCTACCGTCTGCGTGAGCAAGGCTTAGACTTTAATCCATTATCAGTGAAAGGTGGAGTGGCTATGTAGTTCTTTTGTAGTTGCGTTTTCCCTTTTGGACCGAGGGCTCTCAACTGCTTCATTTGTGCATCAATGACACAAGGACCCAGCTGAACGCTCAACCCTGGGGGGGACATTAGCTGCGTTTGGGAGAGAAAGCGTCCAAACCTTCGGTCCACTTGAGCCTCCGGCATTGACGGGTACCGAAAGCGGAGGCCGCCGTCCAGGTAATCCTCCCACGCACCATGTCCAACTGAACTGTAACAGCCTCCAAGTTCTCAGCTGTCGCCGCCGCAATAGATTCCCACCTTTCCCCTCAAGTGATGTACAAGTCCCGGTACAGAAGCAAAAAGAAGTTAGAATGGTCCAGCACAGAAAACCGATTCATGGTCTGGATAGGATAATGACAATTGCCTGGTTGGAACTCAACGCGGACGCCTTCCATGTTCCAGCAACAGCGTAGCTGGGCATGCCTTAAGAGAGAGTTCCTTGGATGAGCGAATGTGTGTTGTTTGTTCAAGTCTCGCACAAATCCAATCCAAAAAATGACATTTCTCCGATCGCCCCAAACGGTCAGCGGCCAGCTTGCAAAAACGACTCTCCAGGTATCCAAACTTACAACTGGGGTCTCATCGGTTGCATGGCAAGGTTCGGTTTGGGATCTGTACAGGTGCCCTAGCTGGAGGAAGAAAACGTGCACCGGCGACGTGATGTGACATCGGCAAGACCCTCAGGGTAGCCATGCAGTTGTATTGAGACGCTCTCAGTGTCAACATCATTGCTGAAGGCCAGGTAGAGGCACGCTGTAGCCAACGCGCAAGGCCAAACACCCCGAAGCAACCTCACAGCACATGTGAGCACAGTAGACCACCTGAACCATAGGCAGCAAATCTGGTGTTGATTTTGAACAAGCACGTGGCTTGTCCAAAACTGATGCTTTTGTCTTCTTTCAAAGAGGCCCAAAAAAAGGCCAAATTGCTGATTGAACAGCATTGCCACCGTGACTCTCCAAAGACTTGCAAGGAGCACCCAGTTCGCCCAGCCTCCAGCAACAGGATCTGTCCTCCGTGAGCCGTCCTGGCGACACGTCCATTCGTCGGGCCGCCGCAAACTCTGATAGTGAACCAATCGAATCACAGAATCATCCTTGAGGCCTGCAGCCATTTGGGCTTCAACATCAATGGTCTCCAACATTCTCCAACGTCGTTGTCCGCAAATGATTGCCAGAACACGCACGCACAAACAAACACCAAACACACAAACACACAAGCACACAAACAAACACACAAACACACAAAGAAAGAAACAAACAAACAAACAATCAATCAAACAGACAGACTGACAAACAAACAGACAAACAAACAAACAAACAAACAAGCAATCAAACAAACAAACAATCAAACAAGCAGACAGACTGACAAACAAACAGACAAACAAACAAACAAACAAGCAATCAAGCAAGCAAACAAACAACAAACAACAGCACAAGATTCATTATACATTATACACATGAATTCAGACCGGTCATGTACAGTGAAGTTCACCTCGCCAGCGTCCCAGTGTCCCAAACCCGCTGCTGCAAGTGATCTGTCCGAGGCAGATCTGCTAAATTTATCTCATCAGCAATGGTCCTTCTGCCAAATTCCTTGTTTGGGCGGCCACATGAAACATGGACAAGTCTTCTTTTGCAAGGAGCAACTCCATGTCGAGTGCGGCAGCAGTGCAAACAAACTCTGAGTGCCGAGTGCCGACGAAGGTCCGGCCTGACCAACTTTTCCAACAGCTCCGTCAGCTCCTTGGGGCTGGAGCCAATGAAGGCTGCCAGCCTCAGACCGAGGGAGCCACGCGAACTCGTAGGGTCCCAAGGGTGGTCAATCACCGATGTAGCCCGTCAGTGAGAGAAATACCCCTTCGGTAGCCTCGACCACAAAACTCGGGCAAAGAGGGGCGCCTTGGTGCCGGGTTTTGATTGTATGCCAAGGAAAACGGATTCAGGAGAAAGCACCGCTGGCAAGGTCTGCTAGCATGATGTCTATGTATATATATATATATATATGCAAATATATTTCTATATGGTACCCCTCATGGACCCTGGTTTGGTGAGCTGCTGGAGCCGTGCTTTTTTTCCAGTGATTTATGCCTTTTTGCCTCGTTGATTTTGTGACAAAGTTCGGTGGGGGGGGTGCCATGTCGATTTTTACATGTGTGCATACATATGTAATGTAAGAGACATCAACTTTTGCAATCTGACAGAGCCTGCATCCACCTCAGAGTATTGGGACAGCCCTGGAATTGTTCTTTATTTTAGGATTCAAGATTCAAGATTCTCAAAAATAGGTTTCTCAGATTGTTGAATGTTGAATGCCAGACTATTTTTGCAATTCCAGGGTTGTTCCAGTACTCTAGGTGTTGAATGCATACTTCTGCAACCAAGTATGCGCCCATCTGCGGTCATATGCATTTCTCCAAGTTCCCGCAATTTCTGGATTCAGCTGGCCAGGATTGATGATTCTCAGGAAAGTTGTTGGCTGTGCAATCTTCGATTTTGACTCCTCAATCCAGTGGTAAAGCACTTTCAAGTGTTGCAAGAACTTGAATGTTGTTTGGGTTTGGCCGGGATTGAAACTTCCATTCAGTGGTAAAATACCTTCAAGCGCTTAGCGATCCAGTGGAAACGGTTTCAAGTTCTCAACCAGGTAAAGGTTGGCAGATTGCTGAAAACACTGCATTTTACAGCATTGTATGAAGAGGCGCAGGATCATACATGTATGTGTATACACATGTATATATATATATAATATGTTCACACACCGTCACCCCCCCGCCCCCTGAACTACCTGTCCACCTCTGCTCATCTACTACCTCCGCCTTTTGAGATAGAATGAAGTATCTTGAAACATTCTAATAATTTATACCTCATCGTACCTCGAATAGAAAAAGAAAAAGAACAAAAACAATTAAATACTACCTCGCATTAAGGGTCCACCTTGCACCTCGTATTTCGGGGCCTTCCTTGCCTCCTAAAAAAGGGTGTAAAATTGGAGGGGGGTCGAGCCATATGTATTGTTGAAATCGTTGTTTCAAACGCGTGTGTTTTCAGGCTTGTTAGGGGCAGTTAAGCAGAAACAGCTGGTGTTTGACAACTTGAGGCCAGTCTTAATGAGAGACAAAGAAGGGCCGGATTTTTTCAAACGTGCGTGTGTTTTCAACTTTTCAAGGCCAACTTGATGCCAGTCAGTCTTAATGAGACACGGGGAACGACCGGATTTTCTCAAACACGTGTGGTTTGTGGTTTCAAGCTTGTCCATTCAAATTAAGCAGAAACGGCTGGTTTTGGAGAACTGGATGCCCGTCTCAATGAGAGACAGAGAAGGGCCGGATTTTCAAGGCCAACTAAGCAGAAATGGCTGGTTTTTTGAGAATTCGAGGCCAGTCTTAATGAGAGACAGAGAAGGGCCGGATTTTCTCAAACGAGTGTGTTCTCAAGCGCTTGAAGCCCAAACAAGCAGAAACGGCTGGTTTTTGAGAATTTGATGCTAGTCTTAATACGGGAAGGCCCGAATTTTCTCCAGTTTCAGCAGTTTGGGGCCACATAAGCAGAAACGGCTGATGCCCGTGTTAATGAAATTCAGGGGTTGGATTGTCTCAAACATGTGTGTTTTCAAGCTTCTTAAGGGGGTCGGATTCTCGCACACCTGGCCACACTTGGCGTGGTAGCCATCGAAGACGAAGCCCCGGTACGCCGATTAACACCCAACAGATTTGAGAAAATCCTTATTTCGGAAACCACCTCGTAATTCGGGGTTTGGGCCTTAGGCCAGTGAGCTCGCTATAATTTGTCTAGAATTCGAATGCTTAGCAAATCCGGCTGGGAAATGATTGGAACCAAACTGAAACCAGGCGACGCTGTCCTTTGAATACGACTGCGCATAGAGAATGGTGTAGCTAGCGTCGTCCAATACTTCTGATCGATCTCTTGCCTTCGATTCTGGAGCCCTGGTTTCCTGCTTCTGGACTCCATGGACACAGGGCGCAAGTCAGCTATGGAGTGCCATTGGCGCATCCGCCCTCTCGCGTACATGGAGCCTCTTTGGATCGGAATGGTGACAAGTGGATGGCACGTGCCAGGGGGGAAAAAGGGCACAAGCAAGGTTGCCACGTCCTGGCCTGGCACAAATCAAGTTTAGGAGAAGGGCGCCAAGCAAAGTGTACGAAACACTTGGCCACCGTGCGAGCTACTAGGCCTGTCTGACGTGCCCCAGGCCCTCAGTCCGGCTGCCCCAAGCAACCCAGGCTGGCCAGGCCTTGACCTCCTGCTCGCGTCTGGCCCCTCATCCAGCAGGCCCAGCCCCTTCGGCGCAGTCTGAGACTGGTCTCAAAGTAGCCTCAGGCCCAGTCCCTCAGCCCGCCTGCTGGCGTGTCTTACGTGTCTGCGATTGGCCTCAGGCCCAGCCCAGCCAGCAACTTGCCACCCAGCCTCAGGCCCAAGTGTGTATGAAACAGGCCTTGCCCATCCAGCAACCCGCCCAAGCACAGCTCAGCCCAGCCCGGCCAGCCCAAGTTCCAGGCGCAACCAGCAGCGCAGTCCGGCTGCCCGGCAGCCAGCAACCCACCCATGGCTTCGCAGCCTCGTGGCTGAGACTAGCTTCAGGCCCAGCCCAAAGCCTGCCCAGCCCAGGCCCCGGCGCATCTCAGAGCATGCCAGCCACTACCGGCCCCCAGCTCCCAGCCCACCAGCAGGCTCAGCCCAGCGTGCCAAGGTCAGGTTTTGCGACTGGCCTCAGGCCCAGCCCAGCCAGCAACTTGCTACCCAGCCCAGCCCGCCCAGCCGAAGTTCCAGGCGCAACCAACAGCGTAGTCCGGCTGCCCAGCAACCCACCCATGGCTTCGCAGCCTCGCGCCAGCCTGGGCTCAACTAGCGTCTGGCCCAGCCCAGTCCGCCTGCTGGCCAGGCCTGTCTGACGTGTCTCAAACTGGCCAGGCCCAGCCCAGCCATAGCCCAGCCCCCTCAGTGCGGCTGCCCAGCCCGCCGTAAACTAGCTTCAGGCCCAGCTCAACCAACAACCCACGCAAGCAAGGTCCAGCCAAGCTGCCCGAGACTAGCTTCAGGCCCAGCGCAGGCTTGTCTGATGTGTCTGAGACTAGCCTGTGGCCCAGCCCAACCAGGCGAGGCCGGCTTGTCTGACTTGTCTGGAGCCAGCTTCAGGTATTCGGACCTTCCCAACACTGGGTTTCGGTGTTCCTGACCCTTCCCTCAAACTAGGCGGGCAACGCGAAGCGTTTACAATTATTATTTCCTGCCCATGCTTTTTAAATTCAGAATTGATTTAGCTAGAATCCCTGTTTCGAGGTTGTTTTAAACTTTGTTCACTTGAAATGAAATATTGGGACATTTCGGACGACTCTGGGCTCCAAATTATGAGGCTTTGGGGACCCAAAATTGGACATGTCGAGAATTTAAAGCGCTAGATTCTAGATTTATCATCCCCAAAGGCACTAAAACCAGGGTGGCGGCTGTGTGTACGTGTGTATCTTTGTTCGGGGTACCCTTTTCACCTTGGTTCAAGCCAAATGGCAAACAGGTCCATTTTGGGGTCGGCTGCTCTGACACGTACCCGAACGAGCAGGGAGGCCCAAACTCAAACGAGCAGAGAGTGCCCAGGTCACCTCCAGGTGCCCGAGCTCGTGGGCCTTGATACAGCGGCTGCTGCGGCCTGACGTGCAAAGCCCCCAGGTCCCCTTGACTTCCCATGGAAAGGGGGCAGGTCCCGGCGCCAGTTGTTGTCAATCCCGAACCCGCCGTGCGACCTCCTGTTTTTTCCTTTTTTGTTTTTGGGCCCAAAAACAGTTGGGAAAACCACCAGAAGGGCAAGCTTTGGTGGGATTCAGTGAAGTGCCCTTCCAGCTTGATCATTCGCGACTGTTGAATAAACATGTACCTTCACTGTGACTGAAGGCCTGTATGGAAGTGGTCGTATGGTGCCGGTCCTGAATTGGGATGGATTACGAAGACGCATGCTTTCCTGACATGATTGGCCGTCACTCAGGCATTGTGTCAAATGTACAACATATCTAAAAGCTTGGAAGGCATTCAAACAACGCAACAACCTTGGCAAACGATTTCATCTGACATTTCGTTCAAGGCAAGGTGTTGTGTCTTGTACGTGTGTGTGTGTGTGACACTTGCGCAAGCACAACTTTATGGCAAACAACACACGCCGTTGATTTCATTGGCAAAACAACCCGCTAACCATGCTTCCTGAATGAACCATGGCATCGACGGCAGGCTTCTTAAAGCACCAATCACGACCTGTTCTCGAACTCCCCTCTTGCCCGCCCAGCCGTGCCTAGAGCCTCGTACGCAAGCTCTGCACAAGCTGCCGGCAGGCCCTGCTTGTTGAGCCTTGCAAAAAGGCACCGCTCCGCGGCAATGATGAGCAGTGCTTTGGCTGTGCAGAAATCAGTCTCCCATGCACGGGGTGTGCCCATGAAAGTCGATATTGCGCAAGGTCTATGCACAGCCCAAATTCCCTCTGCCCCAACTTGCTGAATATCAGGCCACCAAAAGGCTGACAGTAATCCTGGTCACACATACAAGCGTCCGAAGACAGTGCAACAGTAGCAGCTTTGACGATGGAAGCCCACGGTTAGGAGTCAATGTGCAGTGGCCCCAAACCTGTAAGATGAAATGGAGATCAAAACACTGGTTTGGGGTCAGAGGACTAGGGTCGCCCAGTTAAACGCTTGGCCATATTCGCAACATATTCCTAGCTCCAAATGCCCTCACCATGCAAATGCACTTGCGATAATCATTGACGTAGTCTTTGATCCGGGCAAAATTGAATGATGGGTTAACAGAACCCGCTGCGTTTCTAGGCAATCCACACATCTCCAAGATGTCAAGTAAGCCTTCACAAAACAGAAAAGCATTCGACTGGGCAACAGTACGTCAATCCACTGAAGCCTGCTGGCCAGCCCTGCTCTGGAATCCTTTAAAGCACCCGATGCTGGGCGCGGCACGCTTCAAACTCGGAGTCATCGTGGGCTCTCACCGCCTGATGGCCTCACTGCAGCGCAACTGGCATTGCCTCACATGTCGGTTGACTCTGGGATGCCTGCTGGGACAAGGAAGAGGCAAAGCCGCCCTTTGTTTATGACCACACCAGCCACCCAGGTTCTTGTTTGGAAGTTGTTCCTTTGCAGTTCTGTTCAATCTCAGCACGGCTGTTGCCCTTGGACCGGCCCACCAACTTTGAGAAGTTGGGCTCAACAGTGCGCTAGCACTTGGCCCGTCAGTGAAGCAAAGCTGCAGTGACACTGCATACGTGTTGCCTTGAAGGCAGGAAAACCCTGTTGTAATAATGGTATAGTAAAAACAGGGGAAGGTCAAAAAGCAACCTCTCTGTGCGTGTGCGTGTATAGAGTGTTTCAGATCTCTCATACTTAGGACATAGCAACGCACGTTGGAACCATCATATGTACCTCACCCGATGTGTCGCAAGTCGTATGCTCCTCTGAAGGGGCACAAGGTTCCCTCGCGGCTGATGTCATACCAGCCAATGACGGAAACACACCAATTCCCACAGAACTCCATTCCAATGCGAGTTAAATTGACAATCAAAGGAGGATGTGCCTTATTTCCCCATGAACCAGCCCATCACTTTGGGCAACTTCTGCAGGTCACTCCCAATTTTAGCGACAGAGTGCGTGCTGAGCCATCCGCTCTGGAAGATGCGGCGGAACATGTGCTCATAGAGCCTGAAGCTACGAGGAAAAAAGGCCACCTTTGGGGTTGCCAGTAGGGTTGCACCAACCGTTCTCACCAGAGCAAAGGATCAAAGCTGGGGTCAAGGGCGCCAAACAGAAACTTGGCGTCCTGCTGACAGCGCGTCAGTGGGTGCCTGCAGGGCATCAGCGTCTCTCACTCGTCTCTCTTCATGGCGACTATGGCCATGTTCGATCTGCGCGTGCTTGTGTGACTGCCGCCTGTGTCAAACTATCTTAAGTACAAAGTCAGTCTGCTGTGTACGAGTGCAACAACGACAATTCGCCTCGGCCTTAAGGGGGCCAAGGGCGCTCAAATCTCTTTTCCAAAGCTTGTCCCCTTCCCCACCACCCAAAATGTCTCCGGCCCACCCCCCGCCCCACCCCCCTTCCCCCACGTCTGCCGGCCCAAGATCCTGTCCGGCGGACCTTCAGCTCCGTAACCCAGTTTTGTTCTCAGTAGTCTTCTTGTCCCGAAAAGCATCCTCCTGCTTGCCAGGCCTGTCTGATGTGTCTGAGACAAGCCTCAGGCGCAGCCCAACCAGCAACCCACCGCCTGCCCAGCCAAGGCCCAAGGCCAACACAGTCGATCAAGACTGCCGTGCGCATGGGATTCCCATTCCAGCTCAAGCGTGCCTGCGCAAGCAGCCAATGCCCAACTCCGATTGAAAAAACCCACGCCAACGCAATCGATCAAGACTGCCATGCGCATTGAGCACCACAGCTCTGCTTTAGTCGTCAAGACTTTCTGTGCAATTTCTGCCCATGACATCCACTGCCCCCGCACGCAACGCCAGCGCCTCTCACTCTTGGCTCCATGACAGCGCTTGCACACCAGCTCGAAAAGCACCCCCCCGAAGAACGCCCCAAGCAAAACCCGGCCATCAATCGAACAGTACCCCCCCCCCCACACCCAGAAGTGTATCTTGCAAAAGTCAACCAGCACCCCAAACACAATCCCAAACTACCACCTAAGCTGCATGCCCCCTTGCACCCTACCGTGTAGATGCAAAAATGCGCCTGCGCCGTGACCTGCATGCCCGATAGCACCCGAACGTCAATATAAACAGCACCTGCACAAGCACCCCAAACTGCATGCCCCTTACCACCCTACCGTCAAGATTGAAAAGATGCGCCCGCACTGCCATCGGCACCCCAAACAGCACCCCAACCTACACCAGCACCCCAAACTGCATGCCCCCTAGCACCAGCCCATCAATCTCGCAAATCACTTCCCCCCTTTATTAGAAGTTAGAACCCCTATAACTTTCAGTTATCTGGGGAAAAAGCCCCTCGAAATAGCCGCTTCGTATTCCTGGCTTCTGTCAAACACTCCCAGGCCAAATCGCGCTGGTATGGCCTCTCTGCCTTTCAAAAGCTGTGGATTTCTGCTGGAGTAGCTTTAAATCTGCCAAAACCGCCTGATTGGACTTGAGCAGCTGCAAATTGTGCAGTAGGTTTCCAGTCAGGGGAATCCCTTGTGTCACACCCACGGGCAAACAAACAACATACCTGGACCTTCGTCCCCTGAAAAAAACACGTAGTTTCCGCCTTTGACTGGATATTTGGGAAATCGTAGCACTTTCTTTCGCGAAAACCTGAAACTCCTAAAACTCCAAGAAAACACTATTGCAATGCTCGCGGCCTTTGACAGACTAAAGGAAGCTTTGGAGGGGTAAACGACTCAATGCAGCCCGCAAGTTTGTCAAAACATGCAACGGAGGTCCAAAGGTGTGCGGTGCAGACAAATCGTACCCATTTTGACCGCGAAACGACCGCAAATTTCCACACATCTCCCGCGAAAACTCGCAAACTCCCGCAAATCGGAAAAACAGCGTAGTTTTGATGATCAAGGCATCCCATGGTCCCTCGGGCCTTCGTCTTACTCTGCAATCTCTGAAATCGACTGCTTCTAGGTTCCAATGTAGAAATGTCTCCAAATAGAGGACGCCCCTGTATCTCTTCGAAAGGAGAACAATCTTTAGGGGCTCTTTAGTTTGAAAAACACCCGTGGCAATCTGCGGGAGTGTTTGTTCCGCCTCTGCGTCCGGCCCTTGGCAGCCAAAGCGTGCAGCACCATCATGGCCGTGAGCCTCGCATCGGGGCCAAACAAAAAACTCGGATGGACTTGGCCATATGCAAAACAAGACATAACAAGACATATTCTTTGGAATGGTCACCAGGGCCTTCCCACATGCAACACGTGCAAATATGCAAGTCGGGAATCAATATTATTCCAACGCCTCCAGCAGACAATCTAACTTGGAGCTGCGCGGGCTGTTCACCAAGTCGTAGTTGTCAGGCATCAACATCTCAGTCTCCACCTATTCACGCAGTCCCAAGTTGACGAGCGGATTGCAACAAAAGGAAGCAAAGGAGCCCGAAAGCCAAGGGGGAATGTGTGAAAGTCACATTCTACTTCTCTGTGAGTACATCTCTGACATCCGCACACCAACCGTCTGCTCTGAGTCGAGCAGTATTCTATGTGTCTCACGGCATAATGCGTGGCATTGAGTGGAGATCACCAGGGTCTTTCAACGCTTTGTGGGCTATAAAATACTGCAACTTCTGATTGGCCAGCGCCACCAATGGTAGAATGCCCACTTCGATTCCAAGAGAGGCTGCCTGTTTTCTGTTCAAGTGACACTGTCAAGTCTTGCCCAGTACTCCGACCACTGGATATTGTGCGAACATCTGTTTGGAGGCAAACGGCAGCGGTCGTGCTAAACAACCAAATTTGACATATCAAAGCAACCGGCACCTGAGCCTCTTGAAATCCAAGCCCAAAGTCCCACGAGGTCGAAGCCATTTGATCCAAAATCTTACCATGTGGAGGGGTCCCTGGCTTTGGCTGGCACGACCTGCAGAGAATGTAGGATGAAATTGCGCACTCCAAACAGACATACCGGACATACCCCAAAATTAGCTAGCGGATATAAATAGGCTGCACAAGGGTTGTACATGGACCATCCAGGGTACATACCCCAGAAGGCGGGGTGTGTCCATTTAGAGAGAACGAGCTCGCTTTGCCTGTAGAGGCTTGTTTACTGCATTGCATTTCCGGGCAAAGGTGTCGTGTTTGCACATGTCAATGAAGGAATCGTGAATCGCCGACACCACACCCAAATACACCTAACCCATCCCAGGTCGATGTGAGCAGTTGCTTTGCTGGGACGACTGCTAATCTTGTTGGATTTTCCCTAGAGGGGCTGACATGAAGAACGCCTCTGCATTGGTGGTTCGCCCTTCCCTGGGAATCCGCCGGAATCCGTCGGAATCCTTCGGAATCCGTGGGATTCGTGGGCCTTGTCTCGCATCTCCAAAGACGTCCAGCTGTGGACGAGGGCCCTCAGCTGCTGCTGCTCCAGCGGCTTCACATGGAGCCTGGGCAACCAAAGGGCGCCAGGACGTCGCGTTTTGCGTTTCTACTCGGCGTTTGCGTGTCGCAAGTGAACCAATGATCTTGGGCTGTCGAGTCTAGTCCGCAATATTCGGGTGATCCGGTGGTCCTGTGGGGCTCTCCGCTCGCGAGTGGACAGCGCGGCTTTCGAAAGAAATGCCCTCACAACCGTGGATCTGCATCTTGGATGGGACTTCAATGAAAGATTGTCATGAGTCCATTAGGATTTCGACATCTCTGCCCATCGCAGATGACGAATTATGGAATGTGTGTCAACGAAGGCCCCACAGACGCGCGCGCCCACACACACAACAAAAAGAATACGCTCTCAAGCGCACATGGATGCATGCAACAGTCGTCAGGTAAATATGAGTTTCCGTGACAAAACACAAGTCTGCAGGTGTTTGCAGAACTGGGGATTTTATGGAACAGCCTGTCCAGAATCACCATGGATCCCGTACCCTCAAATTGTTTGGCCTCCGCGCTCTGAGAAGCCCCACCTGCCAGTGCAAGACTGGGCCGGGCACATTCTCTCAGACGGAAAAGGAAGCGTTTTGTTTTACCAAACCTGCCAATCAACGATTGCAGGGAAGGTGAAACGCGGACAAATTTCAAGGGCCTCAATAGCGGGCACAAGTGAAGTGAACGGTATGGTCACCTATGGTAACAATGAAGCACAGGTTGTTGCCACAGCAGAGCGCTTCACCAACCCTCAATTGTGCGTTCGCATCAGCAGCTCTGAGTGCGCTCTTGCAGGTGACAGAAAACCGCCACTCTTCAGGACAAAAGCAGTGCAGGCAGTTCGCATTCGCAGCTCTGGCTGGAAGGCCGCATCTTTCGAAGACAAAAACCGAATCCATGCGTCTATTGGGATCACCAAGGGTTTATTGCTCCCAATGTGCCGTGTGAGGGCATGGTAGATCGACAGGAGAGACAGCCACAGCCAAGATCTCTCCTCTCTCGGCCACAGAAAGCCTGAGGGCACTTCTGCGGGAAGAAAGCGAGACAAAAAGTCAGAGTACACCTTAACCCAAGATGTTCTGCACACCTTCGACATCACATTTAAAAAAAACTCTGGCGAGGTGGCTCTCCAAAATCCTGTGCAAATAAATATGCCGAAAAAACATTAGCCTCCTCCGAGAGCAGGATTATTCCAGGAACTACAACTTTCCAAGCAGGTCTGGGCATTAAAACGTATCATCAGCAAATTAAACAGTTAGCCTGATTGGCAGTGTTGCAAGCCGCCCTGTGCGCAATTACCTCAAGTCAAGCATAGTCAAGGCTAACGACCCATGTAATTCGAGAGGTCGTTTGAGCAACATTGGCCATCGTATTTGGTGAAAGTTGCCTTTCTAAGGAAACTAAAGTTCTGCAGCCCAGGTGTGACAGGGCAAACATCGCAACTTCCTGGTGGCGTCCAACGAACTTGCCACTTTTGAGGCCCACAGGGAAAAACCAGTATCAAAGTGGGCCATGTCCAAGACTACTTGGTCACTTTTCCGGGGAGTTCCCTTGAGAGATAGCGGCCAGCCTCTTCAGGAGGGGCAGCAAATCGGCTCCGTCAGTGTCTGGCAGGCTGAAAGGATGGCATCAATTTCATTCACGCACAGGAATCCAACGACAGTTGTACAAACGGACCCATTCAAGGATATACCCCCCCCCTCCGTTTGCGTAAAGTAGGGGGTGGGCATGCATCTGTCTGTGGAAGTTGCGATTTAGCTCTGAAAAGCTTCACCCTTTCCCGTGTGCAAAACCATGGCAGTGGCAAACGATGATACAGGTAACCCGCTGACTGCAAACAATTGCTGACGATTGAATGGGAGATTGGCAACACATGAATAATTAAATTGTTCCTGGTGTATTGACATGGGGGCCTGCCGAATACCAGCAGCAAGGCTGAAACCACCCAAGGTGACATTTGTCTCGTTCCAAGAAGAAGTGAAGGAAGCAAAGCATGGGGTATGGCTCGAATTCAGGTAGTGTCGCCGTCCAGATAGTTGCTGTCTCCCACACAGGTTCTCCCCTAAACATTGGAGCACTCTAATTGGCAGCTTCTCCTTTCAGACAATTGAGAACCCTGGAGAAACACACCAAAGAAGCAAACGCATCGGGTCAGCCCGTTCCGTCGGCCGCCCCCTTCCGCCTGGCACTGCCAAGGTTGCCGTCATCGTGGCACTGGTGGCTGCCAGGCCGAAGCCTGAAAAGTGTGGCTGCGGCTGTGGCAAATGGCTTGTCTCATGTTACCAAAGTCGCCCTAGTGGTCGGTTGGGGGAATAACCCGTGATGAACATGTGGCTCGTTCGCCAAACCCGCCGAGAGCCAGGTGTTCATGGGTTCCGGAGTGTGGAGGTATGGTCACATTGAGTAATCCAAGCCGGGTGTGACAAAAGTCGACAGTCCTCCATGCACTTCACGACACATTCGATCGCCAAACGTTTCATGTTTGCAAGCCCTTGAGGTTGTTGCCTTTGCGAGCGCACCAAGCCAGGTGACAAAGATTGCTTATGACTTTGACTTCAAGCATCATGCACCTAATTAAAGATGGCTTCTCCTGATCCTGCTTTCGGCGTCCCCTCACCTTGACAATCTGACAAATGATGGCTGGCCACCGCCGCCAACACGGTAGCTCTGTTTTATCAAAAAGAACAAGCTGCATCTGGTTGCCGCCAGTGTGTTCACACCGGCAAGGCATCGGACTCATTGTAAAATGGCGCTTGCCTCATCTCGGCATCGGAAGTGTTTACTGAGCTCTTCGAGTGCCAATAGCTGCTGATCGCACATTGTGAGCAGCATCATCAACCCTCGAATTTCGCGATGGACAAGAAGCTGAGGGTGCTTGAAGGGAAGCAGAACTCCAGGTCTGACCAGCTCATTCGGCTGGCACATGTTCTATTGTGACCGTGTCCAATGTTGCAAAAGATTCGCAAGCCTCAAAATAACCTGCCTCCCTTCTGTCCATCCAAATAGAAATGTGGTCATCCTACAGCTGCCCAATTCTGGGCAAGCTTCCACGTACGAAAAAATGTAACGGCACATTGATCGCTTCAATGAACAATTGATGCAAGAAACTGAGAGCGATGCTGGGTCACTGCCAGCCGCTGAAAATCGCACGGCTGGTGCTGAAAATCGCACGGCTGGTGCTGTTGATTAATGAGAACACTCCAACACGCACCCTCAAAGCTACTTTTCGAGCTATTTTAGGCTCTGAGCTCAGGCGCGTCGCTTCAGGAGCATCTGGCTGGAAATGGCGCAGACAATGCCAAGTGCGAATGCGCCCACCATGGGAAGGGCAGACCAGGGCCGCAGGCACAGCGAGGGTATTGAGGGCAACGATGGCATCGAGGGCAGTGAGGGGGCCCGCGCCCTGTTGATTGACAACCGCTTGGCGCGGTGGTCCACCTCGGGGGACTTAAGTGATTTGTCGGGGGGAACCCCTGTTGATTGTTCTTGTTTTCTTTTCGGGGAAACCAAGAGGAAACTGACATGCACCCCTATTATTCAGAGTGCCTACATGAAGTCAGATTGAACAAGATGGAAAGTCAGATTGACTTCTTTTGTTCCACATCGGCGCCAACCTGCTCTGGCTCACTGTCATCATCTACGCAGTCGAACTTCAGCCAACCAGGCTCTGTCAGAGCGATCATCGGCACCTTGGCTCGGCAAGCGAGCCAAAGAGCCCTTGAAATGAGAGGCACCCACGCTTTACAAGGGACATCTCCAGCCAAAGAAACTGGCTGCGCTCCACCCATCCACCTTTCACAAATGACAGCTCTTCCCCAGACCGTCCCCTTCAACACATCGCGTTTCAGGACACCCGGCTTTGCGACGCCAGGGAGCTGGGTTCGGCTTGGGGCCCGCCTGGATGCCTTCTGTGGCGGGCAGCGCCACGGAGCAGCCTGGCTCCTGACGTCGCCGGTGTGGTGAGTGCTTCCAAGCCACATGGCTATCCAAAGAGACCGCAGCAGGTTCCCCTGGCTGCCTATTGGTTGCCTGTAACTAGAATGACTGGAAGCACAGGGACGGCTGGAACGTCAGTTGAAGCTGACCAGTCATGTCTACTGCGTTGAGATATGGAAGGAATCTGAATGTGGCTGTTCCCTGAGCCTGTGATGGGCTTGAAAGTTTGAATCCCTGCAAGCGAGCAAGAGTCCTCGGAGGCTTCTTTCCACTATATCATTGGCTACCCTTTAGATATTCCAACTTTTCTAGTAGTTGAGTCAGCTTTGTGCGGGAAGGCAAGGCGCAGAATGAGTAGTATTCGTAGGCGATTGAGGCATGCTTCGACCAAGAAAAGTTAGCAGCGTAGCAAAGATATGTTTGTTTGGTTTGGTGTTGGATATATATATATATATGTATAATAAAATATAATAACAACATATTAAAATAAATATTAAAATTTTGTCAAAATAGATATTGGAAATTATATTTGGAAAAATATATAATGGCATTCAAAGAATAAAATTGTTTAATTATTTTGTTTGTGAGTCAAATTTAAAATGCTTGGAATATGAATTTGGATTTTATGTGATTTAGATTTGAATTTTATTTTAATTAGATTGTGTATTTTAGATGTTCTTTATATATATATATTCAATTTATAATATTGATTTAGAGGGTTAGATGATTTGGTAGATTATTGTTTTTTGGTTTTGCTAAATGTTATATGATAAAGTTGGTATTTGATAGAAGGATAATGATGGTTGTATCTGTTGAGTTTTTTTGGTTAGGATTGAATTGTCTGTAATTTATTTTTGGAATAATTTGTGTTTTTTTTAAGAATTGGTTTTGTTTTAGTTGGGATATTCTTGTTTTGGTGAAGGGGTAAAGGAATAAGAAAGTAGGAGTTTTGGTTTGAGTTTGGTACTTGTATGATTTGGTATGGTTATGGTGTGATATTGTGTTTAATCAATATATTTATAATATTTATATATATATATATATTTCCCCAGATAGCTGAAAGCTATAGGGGTTCTAACTTCTAATAAAGAAGGAAAAGTGATTTGCGAGATTGAGGGCCGGGTGCTAGGGGGCATGCAGTTTGGGGTGCTGGTGGAGGTGCTGCTTTGCGAGCTTGACGGCCGGGTGCCAGGGGGCATGCAGCTTGGGGTGCTAGTAGTGGAGGTGCTGTTTTGCGAGAGTGATGGTCGGGTGCTAGGGGGCATGCAGTTTGGGGTGTTGGTGGAGGTGCTGTTTTGCGAGATTGACGGCCGGGTGGCATGCAGTTTGGGGTGCTGGCGGAGGTGCTGTTTTGCGAGAGTGATGGCCGGGTGCTAGGGGGCATGCAGTTTGGGGTGTTGGTGGAGGTGCTGTTTTGCGAGAGTGATGGCAGGGTGCTAGGGGGCATGCAGTTTGGGGTGCTGGTGGAGGTGCTGTTTTGCGAGCTTGACGGCCGGGTGCTAGGGGGCATGCAGTTTGGGGTGTTGGAGGTGCTGTTTTGCGAGAGTGATGGCCGGGTGCTAGGGGGCATGCAGTTTGGGGTGTTGGTGGAGGTGCTGTTTTGCGAGAGTGATGGCTGGGTGCTAGGGGGCATGCTGCTAGTGGAGGTGCTGTTTTGCGAGAGTGATGGCCGGGTGCTAGGGGGCAGGCAGTTTGGGGTGTTGGTGGAGGTGCTGTTTTGCATGGCCGGGTGCTAGGGGGCATGCAGTTTGGGGTGCTAGTGGAGGTGCTGTTTTGCGAGAGTTGGCCGGGCGCTAAAGGCATTCAGTTGGGGTGTTGGTGGAGGTGCTGTTTTGCGAGAGTGTTTGCCTGTTTTGCGAGAGTGATGGCCGGGTGCTAGGGGGCATGCAGTTTCGGGTGTTGGTGGAGGTGCTGTTTTGCGAGATTGACGGCCGGGTGCCAGATGTAGTTCGGGGTGCTGGTGCTGTTTTGCGAGCTTGACGCAGTTTGGGGTGGTGGTGCAACTGCTGTGTTGGGTTGCCGGGGTTCTAACTTCTAATGAAGAAGTGGGATTGTGTTGCAAGATCGACGGTTGGGAGCTAGGGGGCATGCACTTCGGGGTGCTGGTGCAGGTACAGTTTTGAGGTGCTGTTCGGGCTGGTACGTGACGGCAAGGTGCTCGGTGCTCGGGGACCTGTCCAATGCTGGTGCGGGCGCTGCGTTGGGGTGCTGTTGGGGCTGCTGTCTTGAGGTGTTGGTGACGGTGTGGGCGCATATGGACGGCGTGCTAGGGCGGGAGTGCTGTTTCATGATGCCATTGAACCGGTTCGGACGTTGTTGCTGCTCTAGTAGTCTAACAGTCGTTTGTCATGGTGCGTGGTTCGTGGCTGGTGTGTCATCATGATGTTGTCACCCGCGTCATGATGCTGCTGTCACTGCGATGCTGCGATGCTGCGTTATGGTTCGTGGGTGTGGTGGCGCCATGATTGCTGCCAACATCCGGATGATGCTGAATTTCACTACGCTGTCGCGAGAAGATTCGTGGCTGTGGTATCATCATGATGCTGCCTTTTCAATTTTACCATTACCATGATGCTGTTCGCATCACCATGATGCTGTCCGCATCATGGTGGTGCTGTCCGCATGATCGCGATGCTGGCCGCATCATCATGATGCTGTCGAACTCATCAGGACGTCGTCTCTGCCTTTTTTTCTGCTAGATATGTGGCGCGGAATCGTTCGTTGCTGGTGCATCAGCATGATGCTGTCAACATCATCATTTTTGCTGCTGAACTCATTAGGACGCTGTCTTCGTGTCTATTTAGCGCACATGCTGAGTTGCTGTGGTATCATCATGATGCTTTCAACATCATCATGATGCTGTCAACATCATCATGATGCCTCGGGAACCATTATGATGCTGCATAATGGTTCGTAGCCGTGATGTGTTATCTGGGGTCTACGCTGGTGTTATTAATATGTTTAATTTTAGATATAAGGAACTAATTTATTTATGCTTTAATAAATAGTTTGAAGGATATTTTGGATATATATATTATATATATATATATATGTGTATAGTCCAATATACTATATAGCACATGGGCATTATACGGGTGCTACATGGGTGATATTTGGGTGATATATGGGTGATATGCACAATGCCAGGCTCTTTCTCTCTCTCTCTCGCTGTCTCTCTTTCGTCTCTTCTGTGTAGATAATGTGGCATTTGCCAAGCAATGAGGCCAAGTCCCTTCTCCCACTCTCGAGCCCAAAATGTTGCCAACAGGCCAAGTCCCCTCTCGTGCTCTTGCGCCCGTG